ATTAGATTTCAGGAGAAAGATCGTTCAACAATGCTTGTTATATAATAACTTACTTGTTTGTCGATAGTGAATTTTATTAACTTATCGTTCACTTCCTTCTTTTGTGGGTTCAGCGTTGGTACATTCGTTTGAATTAATTGGTTCAATGAGTCTTGATCATAGTCACTTTCACGTTCCAATTCTTGATTGAAAGCGTCAGTCGATTCACGATTTGACGATGGCATTACCAACTTGACTAACAAACTGCTGCACATGACGTAATACATGTCTTAGATCAAAATTATACAAGATTATATAAACAGTGGCAAGAAAATGAGTCAAAAACAGATCTTCAAAACAATACGGTCGCCCGAAAGGAAGCAAAAGTGACAGCTCAAGCAGAAGCGTATAATAATCTATACGATCAACTTAATACCAGGGAAGGAGAAGTCAATATTTATAAAATAGCCAAACATAGAGCAAATAAACCAAAAGATTTTAATCAGATTAGATGTATCTGAGATGAAAATAATAAAATACTAATTCACGAAAAGGATGTCAAAAAGAGATGAAAAAAGTACTTTGACAGGTTATTAAATGAAGAATTTGACAGACAACTAGTTAAGTTAACGGAGGCAGTAACTGCAATAGTGACCGAAATAACAAACAAAGACGTGGCTCAAGAAATTAAAAAAATAAAGAAAGGAAAAGCAGTTGCACCAGATAATATTCCTGGGGAAGTGTGGGAAGTACTAGAAGGGATAGTAACAAATTTGTTAACAGGTCTATTTAACAGAACTATAAAATTTGGATAAATGTGAGACGAATTGAGAAGCACTCTATTAGTACCCGTCTACAAAAAAAGGAGATGTTCAACAATGGACAAACTAAAGGGCCATAAAACTACGTCGTCACACCATGAAAATATGGGAGAGTGTAACTGACATGCGGATACGTGAAGAAACCGAAATATTTAATAACAAGTTTGGCTTTATGCAAGGCAGATCAACAACAGACACAATTTTTATTATAAGGCAGTTGATGGAAAAATACAGACATAAAGAAACAAACGCTTATATGGTATCCATTGACCTTAACAAAGCATATAATAGAGTTCCTCGGGAGATTCTGTGGTGCGCACTCAACAAGAAAGGAGTCCTCGGTGAATATGTAAAGATTGTAAGAGATATGTATGAGGGAGTAACAATTATTATTAGGACAGGTGTAGAAGAGACTGATGAATTTTACATGAAAGTAGGATTGCACCAAGGCTCGGTGCTTAGTCCTTATTTATTCTCATTAGTTCTGGATCAAATAACACCGAAACTACAGGGTAATATTCCGTCGTGCTTAATTTATGCTGATGATGCAGTGATAGTGGGAAATATTGAAAGTAGTGAAAGCGGCTTAGAACAAAAACTGGAACAGTGGAGACAAGCTCTTGAGGAAAAAGTTTTTTAAAACTAAGTAGGACAAAAACGGAGTATTTGAAATGTTTATTTAAAGATGGAATTAGTACAAATATAATGATATATTTGGATAGTAAAATGATTGTGAAAAGTAATAGTTGTAAGTAACTAGGATCGGTGTTATACAGTAATGGGGGAATACATGGAGATGTGTGCAGTAGAATTAGGATTGAAGCGAGTGGTGTATTGTGTTACAGAAAAATTCCAATGAAGCTGAAGAGAAAATTCTATAAAACAGTCATAAAACTAACTATGAAGTACGGAACTAAATGTTAAGCTGTTAAAAGAAAGAGGAACAACGAATGCATGTGATAGAAATCACAATACTTAGATGGATGAGTGAAGTGACAAAAAAGGATAAAATTAGAAATGAGTACCTATATAAAGGGAAGTCTAGGGGTGGCACCAATTATTGCCAAGATGAGAGAGCATAGGTTAAGATTGTTTGGTCATGTTCAACGTAGAGAAGGTAATCAACCAATACGAAGAATTGCTGATCTGCGGGTTCCTGGAAATAGTAGGAGAGGAAGACCAAAATGACCTGGGGGGAAGACGCTTATCCAGGACATGTCGGTAAAGGGTATTAATACGGATGTCACCCAATATAGACACTTATGAAGAAATGTAATTAGAGAAGCCGACCTCGCATAGGGAAAAAGGCAAAGAGAATGATGATGAGATCAAAAGTAAAGTCTCGTTATGTATCTTCTCATTCATCGCTGGATCGGGATACCTTGAACTAACACGAATTTGATGTAGAACATCATCTGACATGTCATCCATATATTTTACATCCTTTATAAGTGAACAAACTTATACTCTATTTTTTCCTTTGGGAAGAAGAAAAGCTCTAGTTGCTTTTTATATTTTTATTCAAAGATATCTACTTATATTGGTTCGATATTATTAAATATTGGCTTCGATATTATTAAAAAGATTAGTACCATACGCAGAAGAAATAGTTGGTGACTACCAGTGTGGTTTCAGGCCTGGCAGATCGACTATTAATCAAATATTTACAATAAGACAAATGCTTGAAAAGTATTGGAAATACAATCACGACGTGCATCAGATTTTTATAGACTTCAAACAGGCTTATAATTCAATTAATCGTGCAACAATATGGAAGGCAATGATCGAACTCGGCATACCCAAGAAACTAGCTGCGGTAACACAAATGTGTGTAACTCTTTTCCACAAGTTAGAATAGGGGGAAAAATATCAAATGCTTTCTGCGTAAATTCTGGACTGAGACAGGGAGATCCGTTGTCCCCATTGTTGTTTAACCTGGCCTTAGAATATGTCATGCGAAAAATATATCCAAAAATCAAACCAGACATAACTGCTCGGGGAGCAAAAATCATACTCGCCTTTGCCGATGACGTAGACGCAGTAACACAATTAACCTAAGAAATTAAGGATATCTTCTTGAGCTTTGAAGAAGCTGCATTAAACATCGGTCTAAAAATAAATGAAGACAAAAAAATACATCGTCTCAAAACAAGGACGACGGCGAATAAGGCAAAACATTACCATAAATGATCACAACTTTGAAGTGGTTAAAGAATTTAAATATCTAGGAGCAACAATTACAAATGACAACAAATTAGAGCGAGAAGTTGAAACGAGAATAATGACAAGAAATAGATCTTTCTTTGTAATGCAACATCTGATGAAGTCAAAACTTCTTTCACGAGGTGTAAAGATCCGGATATATAAGACCATAATACGACCAACAGTCGCGTATGGAAGCGAAACATGGACGATAACAAAAAGAGAAGTAAATAAATTGCTGGTATGGGAACGTAAAATTCTTCGAATGATATATGGCCCTTTCAGAGACAGCGTGACAAACGAATGGAGGGGTAGATACAATAACGAGCTAGTCTCTATTCGGAAAAGAAAATCTAGTCAGATATATAAAGGCCAATAGACTCAGATGGGCAGGAAATGTGATACACAGTAACGACAATCGGCTTATAAACAATGTGTTCTGGGAAAGGCCAGATGGAAGAAGGTCTGTAGGGCGACCTTGAAAAAGGTGGAAAGACGCAGTCAGAGAAGATCTAGAGAAGATGGGAGTGCGACAATGGGAATTACTGGCACAGGACCAACAAACATGGAAGGCAATAGTAAACGCGGCAAAGACTCACGAAGTTGTAGCGCCATTGATGATGATGATGATGATATCTACTTATGTATTATTTAAGATCTTTACGTATGTTTCATAGACTACAATAAAACCTTCGATATGGTTAAACATGATAAACTGATTTTTCAAAACACTTTATTGTTGGTTTATTTAAAAATTTTAATAATTAAAATAAAAGAAACGTAATTATTTGGCATGACACCAATTACTGTATTTTGTATTAAACTAATTACATATACAATTTAAAACTAAATATTCTCTGGTCACCCTGAATAAATAATTATGTTAATGTTTATATGATTGAATAGAGAATTGACTAACCTATCAAATGAGCTAGCACACGACTCCTATTCTTACTAAAAAACAAAATCGATTACGTCATTACGTCCAGATGGATAACGTCACTGTAATATTATAGTAAGATATAATATACCAAACAATCATAATTTAGAAATAAAAATCTTCACGAACATAGGTTGAACGCAAGAAGGCTACCTCCTTTGACACCTGCACATCGTAGAGACAGACGCTTGTTTGCAGAAGAATACATGAATTGGACCACGGCACAATGGATATCTCTTTTAAATCACGTCGATTGACTTGTTAGAGCTGAAAACTACCAGGCGAGCGCTCTTGAGATTACACAATTCAAGAAACGCAAGCTTTCGGCGAAGTTATTCGGTAATGGACGCAAGATCATGAACAACATGTTGTCCCATTTAAAATATGGGTCCAGAATTTATCCTTTAGCCAAATAATGCAAGACCACACGTTGTTGGGATAGTGTAAAATTATTTGACTACCCACAATATTGGGATGAATATGATGAAGGATGAAGTTCTCGCGGAACAATGGGAACAACAACTAGATCAAGAAACTATTCGAAATATGATTGAAAGCATATCTGGACGTTGTGCAGAAGTTTAGCGACTTAAAGGAGCCCATACACGCTATGTTTCGTTTTAAGATAATTTTTAGCAAAGCTGTTTAAAAAAAATAATAAAATTTTTCATATTTATCACTTTTTATTTTTTGTCCATAAGAAAATTTACAGTTCAGTAACAGAAAATAAAACTCAATACGTAACTCAAGGACGTAATTCAATAAAAATAATATATCCATAAAAATAATTAGTTTAAAACTACAAACACCTATGTAAGTGGCTCCTTTTTTAGTTTTTTAAGTGATCGGTTGAATTTATTTATTATTTATTCCTTGTTGACACAAACTATCTAAGTATTGTTTTCGACGAATAACTACATTAGTAGCATTTTACTTAAACTAATAAATATAATTTATTTGTTTTTTTAGCTGTACAATCTTATCGATATTTATTACATTATCTCTAATACAATATATTCCAAACTTTCCAAACAATATTAACGATATTAAAAACAGGTGATTGTTTTTGAGTGTGATCAACACGCAATACACAAAAGATATCTTTAAGTATCCACTTACATTTTTTTATTAATAAATGAGTGAATGGATGTTTTAAAAATCATTTAGTAAATTCGTGAATATGATACTAAAATGTAAGTACTACCTTAATTTATTTTAACTTTTTATTTTCTGATGCAATTATACAAACACGCACACACATACAACTTTTTACTTTAATTATTAATAAAATTATTATTCTTTATTTTATTGAATCAGCAATAGAAATAAAATCTTTTCCTTTTTGACTTTTCGTCAAAGGTAGTTGAACACCAGTAATTGATATTCCTCTATTGCGCTAGTTCTTACTTAAACAATGGCGCTAGTCTAATAAGGAAACGTTTTAAATGAGTCAAGTTTTTTAAAAGAGGTTTTCAAGGTTCAGGTGTTCAAACGATACTATGCTAAGGAAATATCACGCAACTTCGCAAGAACTGTACAAAATGTTGAAAACACTTAACTGTGGTGCTATCGTCGAATTCGGAAGATATCGTGGGCGACATACATAACCAATGAGTTGATTAGAATGACGAATGCAGAGAATAGCTAAACGTAATTAACAAAAAGAAAAAAAAACAGAATAGTTTGAACCAGAACTAGAGCAGATAACTCACTATTCACAGAAAAGTCAAAGAAAAACGATTTTTAAAATAGAAATCGAAACGACAAACTGAACACACCGACTATGTGAATATTTATCAAAGCTTTGTGTACGAAACCGAAAAAGGTATTCTACTAAATGATTACCGGCTAAACAACAAGAGATGACTCCAAAATATTTGCGAACAACTTAGAAGACCTACCACGTTAAGAAGACAAAGCTTCTGATAATTAGCAAGAAAAGGATAACAGAAGGTCAACTCTACGTCAACCAATTCTCTGTAGAAAGAGTGACGCATTACAACTACCTCGGCACCATAATAAATGAAGAATGGACCAATAACCAGGAGATTAAAGCATGCATCGGAAAAGCTAGATCCACCTTCAATCGGATGGGGGACTTCTTTAAGAGTCACAACTCCTCTCTTGATACAAAAGTAAGAATTCTGCGATGCTACGTCTTCTCTGTCCTTTTTCCTTTTTTATGATGTTGAATCGTGGACCTTAAACAAAGATATGTGCAGAAAACTGGAAGCATGTGAGATGTGGCTATATCGGAGAATACTTAAGATCCCGTGGACCAACCGAGTCACAAATGAGGAGGTCCTCAGAAAAATGAATAAGAACCGAGAGGTACTGATCACCATCAAATCTCGAAAGTTACAACTCTGGACATATTACGAGAAATGAATCTAGATATGCTATCCTTCAAGCTATACTGCAAGGAAAAATATTTAGAAAACAAGGTCCAGGAAGAAGAAGAACTTATTGGTTAAATCACCTTAGAATCTGGTTCAATACAACATTTGTGGATCATTTTGGCGCTGCTGCAGTTAAGATAAAGATTGTCATGATGATCGCCAATATTCGTAACGAATGGGCACACCAAGAAGAAGACAAAAAGAAGTTTTTACTTTGTTGGTAGTTTTTTTTTACAAAAATATATAATTACTATGCAAAAATTGACTCCAAAAAGTAGCAAGTTTATCGAAAAATCTATAGAAGAACTCTTCCTGAGGAAAAAAAACTCTTTGATCTCGTCCTCTTTAGTCCTAATCCGTTTTGGGATGTGGTAACACCATCAGGCCTTTACAGTTTTTTCACGATTTCCCTCCATCCTTCCCTGTCCTGGGCTAGTTGTTCGGCTTCATGTAACCCTTGGTTAATCAATATTTTTGTTTGATCTACCCAACGGCTTGGAGATCTTCCCCTAGGTCTCTTTCCTTTAACTCTACCCTCGAATATCAGTTATTCCATCGTACTTGTTCTTCTAGCAATTTGTATAAAAAACCGCAAATATCTCTGTTGTATTTGTTTAAGCAATCTATCCTTTAATTTAGGTTGTTATTATGCACGTTAATGCGAAGATCAATCCAGGATATTCTTAACATGCGGCGCTATATCCACATTTCAAAAGAGTCTAGTTTATTTTTATCCGAAAAAAGAGGGTAGTCTTCGTAAGTGGGTATATTTATTTCAGCGGGAAACTGAACAGTTTCCAGCTGTTCTCCGTGCGTAGAGGTTTTCTCCCCGGCTCTGGAACTCAATTTTTGCAATGTATGTTACCTGAAGTCATATTTAATTTATTACTAAACATCACAGTTTTTTAACAACAAGATGTATAATCTTTTATAACTATATGTAATTTAAAGGGTTTTTACCCATGTATTTTTGGTGACTCAGGCATTTTAACCTAGCGATTTTAACACCTGATGATGGACTGTTTAGTCCGAAAACGTTTGTTTTTTTGATGTAGCCCTTTTAAGGGTTTTTAAATAAATATACTCACTTACGAAGACTAACAACTTTTTTTGTGATACGTGGTATACAGCCAGCTACAGGAATTGTTTTCCTCGTTTCGGATGCATATGTAGCTATGGGAAAAATGAGTGCCTTTACCAGCCTTAGTTTTGTGTGTATTGTTAGAATTTTTTTTTAATTGTTAGAAGTTTTATTATAATTGTTCTAACAATAGTCAATCTTCTACGTATCTCTCTGTTACACCCTCCGTCATTTGTTTTTAGGGACCCCAGGTATATGAAACTATTTACTACTTCAAAGCCCCCAATTTCTTTATGTGTTGAAGATTTAACTAAGCTCTGTCTACTATCATGATCTTTGTTTTACTGCTATTTAGCTTTAGTCTATATGTTTTGCTTTTCTCCTCCAGACATCTCATTATATCTTCTATTTCTTCTTGATTTGCCGCGATTATTAAAGTATCATCAGTATATCTTAAGTCACTTATTTTTTGACCTCCTACTTTTATTCCACCCTTCCATTAATCTAGTACTTTTCGCATAATGTGTTTGCTGTAGATATTAAACAGTGTTGGCGAGATTATGCATCCCTCTCTGATACCTGCCTCTGTTCTGAAATGATCGGAATGGGTGTTGTTTATTTTTACTGTGCACTTATTATTTTTATATAGACATCTAATTAGTTGAATTAAGTGGTGGGGTGTTCCCATTTCCGCTAGTATGGATCATTTGACTTTATCGAAGGCCTTTGTGTAATCCGTAAAGCATATAAGCATAGGAGTATTGAATTCACAAGTTTTTTGATTAGCTGTCTGACATTAAGGATGTGTTCTCTTGTGCCTTTTCCTGGAATAATTCCCACTTGTTCTGATATCTGAGCCAGTAGAAAAACTCTCATCTTTTTCAGTCTTTCATGTATTATTCGGGTTACCGTTCTGAGTTCCTTTTTTGAATATAGGAATCAACGTGAATGTTGTCCAATCGTTGGGCCACCCTCTGGTTTCTCAAATCTTTTTGCAGATCATAATGCATAACATTTACTCCAAAATCTCCAGTCTCTTGTAAAACTTTTGCGGTGATCTGGTCTGCGCCAGGAGATTTTCTATTTTTAACTTTTTGATTGCTTTTTCTACCTCTGACTTTAGAATGTTTGGTTCTCTCTCTCTCTCTCTCTCTCTCTCTCTCTCTCTCTCTCTCTGCAGTGAACTCGTCGTGATTTCATTTCTGGGAATCATCTGCTTATATAGACTGTGACAATATTTTCTAGATTTCTCCGCAATCTCTTTCTCGTCATTTATAATATGTTGGTTTTGATCCATTATTGTTTGTGTGATTGATTTAAATTCCCTGGATAGATATCGGACTTTATTATATAGCTCATGGGATTCATACCGGTTTGTATATCTCTCTAGTTCTTCGTATTCTTCATTAATTTATATATTTATTTTTATCATCCCTACATGTTCTTTTAATTTCTCTATTTAACCTTGCCAACTCGTTTTTGTTGCTGTCGTTTTGATATATGAGAGATTTGATTCTCCTTCTTTCTTCGAAAAGTTGCAGCGTTCTGTCTGTCATCCAGTGTTTTCTTTTGATGATCTTTTTTTCGGTTCTGGTTCTTTCTACAGAGGTTTCTATGGCATTTCTGAAACCTTTCCACATTTCTTCTGGGTTGTTTGATCTATACAGATAGATATTGATTTTTGGTAGGCAGAAAAATTGGAAAATGTAAAACATACGAAGTAAGAATAACTCTTTATTAAATTCATCTGACTCGAGTGTAACTTCCATAACACGAATAAACTTTTTTGGTATTTTATTTCAAAACGTATAAAATGATATATATTTTGTTTATTTTCAGACGTATTAGCCATTGCAATAGCAATAAATTTAGCTGCTGCCAAATATACTTATAGGTTAGGAGATACAACAGAAATACATTTTACTCCAACTAGCAATGGAATAGAAATATACGTCATAGACGGTAAGTGTATATTCTTCTTTGGTATGTAAACTAAAACCACATTACATTTACACTGTCACATGTTAAATATTATATTTATAATCTCAAATGTTTCAAAAAATAAATTTTGGTTCCAAAAAGTTTTATTTTTACATTAAATTATTCATGTTTCTTCTTCATTTTCTTCCTTCTTTTATGTAGGCTTTAAAGCCTGATTCTTCTTCAATATTAGCCTCCTAAATTGTATAAATTGTCGCACTATCTTTTTCTTGGTCTGCCAATACTTCTTCCTCTATTTGGTGACTTATCTCGTGCTATTCTTACTATTCTATCCTCTGCTATTCTACCGATGTGTTCGTTCCACCCTTGTTTTCGTTTTGTCATCCATTTATTTATGTCTTCTATATTGGATGCTCTTCTTGTTTTCGCTTCTCTCGCTATCCAACAGACTTTTCCTTGATATTCGTCTGAGTATTTTCATCTCTGTTGTTTCTAGTATCCGTCTCGTTTTAGATGTGTCTCCGCCGTGTATATTAACATAGGTCTAATTGCTGCTTTATCGATTCTTGTTTTTGTGTCTTGTCTTAGGTGTTTGTTCTTCCAGATTATGTCATTAAGACATAATGTTGTTGTCGTACTTCGTCTTTAACATCTCCGTAACTAGTTATATCTATTCCCAAATATCTAAACCTTGCTTTCTGCTTTATTATTTTCCCATCAATTTCGATTTTACACCGTAGTGGGTATTAGCTGTTGTATTAAAGAGATGTGTTAATCTTTGGAGCTTGGCTTTTGTCTCGGAGATTAATGCGGCGTCATCTGCATAACATAATATTTGGATCTCTTTGTTTCCCCTTCTGTAGCCATAGGCTTTACGTACTGCTTGTATTATTTTGTCCATTAATACATTTAAGAGAAGTGGGCTTAACGAGTCACCCTGTCTGACTCTGCTCTGTTCTGGTATGTACTGTGTTAGTTTTCCATATATCTTTGCCTGTATTCGATTATGGGGGTAAATATTTTCGATGGTTTGTATAATATTAATTGGTATGATTCTTTTATACACTAGGTGCAAGACGTCTTCGATCGCGATAGAAAGTATTTGTCAGGTCCATAAAACATAGATATGCTGGTTTATTGTACTCGATGGCCTTTTTTGTGATTTATCTACGCAGGATCTTCCGGATGTGAATCCTCGTTGTTCATCTGATAAAGTTGTTAGTTTATTGATTTTGTTGGTTAGGACTTTTGTGATAAGCTTAAGTGCGGTGTTCGGTAGAATTATATCTCTATATTTGTTGGTTCTTTCTTTATCTTCTTTCTTAAACATTGGTATCATTATGCTGTCTCTCCATGCGTCTGATATCTTGCAGTGCAGTGCATTAGTTTTTGTATAAGTTTTGTCATCTCTAGGGTTATTCTTTCTCCTCCGTGTTTTAGAAGCTCGTTGGTTATTTCGTCTGATCCTGGTGACTTTCTATTTTTGAGCAAAATTATGGCTATTTCTACTTCCTAAAAACTGATTTCTATTTCGTGTCTTAATTCAGGTACGTTATTGTGTTCATTATTATTATTTTCCTTTGCTTTAAACAGTTCCATCAGGTATCTTTCTCATTTGTTTGCTGGTATCTTATTGTATTCCTTTAATTCTGCCATTTTTTTTCCGTTGGTTTCTTATGAATCTCCATATTTGTTTTTGTGTACCGCAGAAGTCGCTTTTCATTCTTTTTGTAAACTGTTCCCAGTGTTCATTTCTTGTTCTTTTTATCAACTACTTTCTTTAAATTCGAATTCTTCTATAGTTATGTCGGGATTTTGGGGTATTTGATGTTTTGTACTTCGTGTAGGCCTTTCGTGTTTCTATTTACATTTCTCTTTTATTTCTTTTCTGAACCGTGGTGAATTGTTGTTGTTTCTTTTGTTTAGTATGACTTTGCGTTTTCCTAGATCTTCTGTTGCTTCTTCAATGTTGTTTTTAATTTTCTCCCAGCTCTCGTTTATATCTTCGATGTCGTGTATTTGTTTTAGCTGTATCTTCTCTGATAGCCTCCTTTTGTACATTTCTCTTGTAGGGTCGTTCCACAGTGATTCTACATTGAATTTTTCCTCGGTGATTTCCTGTAGAAAATTTTGTTTTGGTGCTATTTTCATTCTCATCTTTGCTAGTACTAGTTTGTGTTCGCTCCCTGCGTCTGCTGTGTTTAAAGTTAGGATATCTAGAATTTGCTTTCGGTGGATTTTTCTATTAGCGACTAGAAAATCAATCATGTATTTATGCTCCTGGAGTTTTCAAATGTATATTTCTATACTAGAGCTTATGGTCGAAAATGTATTATTGATTCTCAGTTTGTTAAAAGCACAGAGATTAGCCATGAGTTCTCCATTTTCGTGGATGTGGTTTTCATTGGAACTATTTCATTTCCGACTCGTGCATTAAAGGCACCCATAAGAAATAAGGGCTCTTCATGAGGTATTTCATCCAGGATGGTTTGCAATTGTTCGTAGAATGCCTCTCGATAGATATGACATTTAATTTTTGGTAGTCCATTGTGATGCTCATATGTATTATTTTTTCGAAGATATAACGGCAGGTATTTATGATGTCTTTAAATTTTTTATGGACAAGTATACCTACGCCTGCTCGTGCTCGTTCTTCTTTCTTCACTCCACTGTTTGCTAGGAAATATTGGTTATATTCTTTTTGGCCTTTACCTTTTTTTTAGATTTCTTGGATTACACAAATGTCTATGTTTTTATTTATCAGTTCTTATATTATCCCTTGGTTTTTGTGATTAAAAGAAATAATGTTTCATGTTTCTAATCTGATTGTGGGTTTATTTTTCCTTCCCGTTTTTCTTTTCTTTGCGTGTTTCGTCGTCTTAGGTTCCATCTGGTTCCAAGGCTTTATATCGGTTCTTTGAGCCTTGTTTTCTTTTACAATGGGTAGGATGCTAACCTGGCCCATCAACCCATCAACATTATTCATGTTTGATCTATTAAATAAACAAAGCGTAGCTTTGATTTATCCATTTTAATAAACTTCGGTACTCAATATTTTAGATTCTAGTAGTGTATGATAATGTCTATTTTAGTAATTCCACCTTTCTTATCTTATACCAATGTATAATCTTCCTGCCACATGGAATAATTGTCCTGCATTTGGTATCTCTAAATCTGATAAGTCCATTCACAAATGTTTTTTAACCAAGAAACCTGTTTTCTTCCTGCATCTCTACGGCCTTCTATTTTGCCTTTAAGACTCAGTCGTAATATTCTATATCGATTTCTCTTCACTATATGTCCCCGATAAGTAATTTTCCAGCATTTAACAATCTTTAGCAATTCTCTATCATTGTTAACCATTCGTAGTACTTCCTCATTAGTTTTTCTTGCTGTTCAGGATATCTTTAGCAGCCGTATATATTATAAATCCACGTTTCCAATGCTTTAATTCTGTTCATGTTTGATACCTTTAGTGTCCACATTTCTGCTCCATACAAAAGTACAGACCAAATATAACACTTAACCATTCTTTGCCTTAGTTCTAAATGAAATGATTATTGCAAAGAAATATCTTTAATTTTATTAAAAAAGTTTTAGTTATTGTGCTATTCTGTGTCTATGTCTATATCTAGTTGGTCAGTTATGACAGTACCCAAATGTGTAATTTTGTGAACTTTTGTTCCACTTAATTAAAGCTCTGCATCTGTATGTGGGTTACAACTAAAGACTAAAATTTTAAGTTTGAGTTTATTTTAATGCTCATTTCCTCCCTACTTCGTGAATTCGATTAAGTAGAAATTGAAGATCTTCAATATTTTCTGACAGAATTACTGTATCGTTTGCGTATCTAATTACATTAAGTAGTTATCCGTTAATTTTGGTTTAATATATTTGTCTCTCGAGTGCCTTTTTAAATAGCTGGTCCGACTAAACACTGAACAATGTTGGTGACAAAATACAACCTTGTCTGACTCCTCATTGTATCCTCCAATTTTTACGATAGAAGTTTGATTCTAGTACAGATTTTTAAGGATATGAATATCTTCGTTGTCTATTCCTACATTTTTTAGCATCTGCATTAATTTTACATGTTGTACTTTATTGAATGCCTTTTCGAAGTCAACGAAGAATGCAAATACTTTACAAATCTTTTCTTTGTCACATTTTTGTCTTTTCACATTTTTGTAATAGGATATTTAGCTCAAAAATTGCCTTCCTGGTTTCCATAGCATTTCTAAAACCAAATTGGGTATCTGATCTTCTTCGCATTTGAGTATTTTTACGTTGTCTTCATATATAACTTCAGCACCTCAGTTGGTTTATCATCTGAAGTACAAGCCTTCCAAATTCTAGCATTTTTTAAAGCGTGTTCTACGTCTGATTTCACAATTTCTGGACCGTTAGTACACTTTTGGTAGGATTTGGTAATATTACTTCTATCATCTTCAAACAACACTAATATATAGTTTCCATTCTCTTCTTATTTCGTTCTCATTTACAATAATTTTCTTGGTATTGTCAACTAGTATAGAGCGAACTGGTTTTTTAAATATGTTGCTTATGTCTTTTACTTTTTTATGCACATTAAAAAGTCGTGCCTTAATATCACATATCAATTTCCTCGTACCTTTCTCTCATCCATTTTTTGGCTAATTTTATCTCCCTTTTAATTCTTCTGTATAGATGTCCATATTCTGTTTCGTTCGATTTCATAAGTCGACGTTGTTTTTTTATTTTCAAAATCTCTTCTGTCATCCATTGCTTTTCCTTGATTACAATATTAAAAGACAGTGCAAAATAGTTCCAGTTAACAGATGGGTACAAAAAGAAGAAGAAATAAGAATAGAATAAAATTGAAATGCATTAAAGCATTAAGCGAGCAATTTGCCTTCAAAAAAGTATGAAGAAAAAAAAGAAGAAAAAGCCAGTGGCATTGGATGTTTCTGAATCAACTCGGATAAGACGGACGATTTAAGTTTCCTATAATAAAAGTTTTTATCCCAGTTATTACGTTTTCACATATACTGAGTGCGGTGTTCATGTATCCAACAAGGATTGTTTTTTGATCAATATCCATAATTATGCCGATTTACATTTTCATTAATAAAAAAGTGGCATCATTGCAAAACAATAATATTTAAAAATTTTGGATCGGGACAGTTACCCATAATTATAGGTGGGTTTTTCGGTCAAAAGGTGGAGACCGAATATAATCCGACCGATTAATATATTTATAATCTCTTCAATAATGTTACCTAAAGTAAAAATTAAATTAAATTAATATTATACTGTTAGAAGTGTGATCTTATGATCTTGTTAGTTCTCGGCAAATACTTATTTTTTACATAAGTTTTTTTACATCCTTTTTTACATTACATGTACAATAACCACATGGTCTTTTTGCTGTTCTAAGTTTTGAGTTAAATTGTAAACTGTATTTAGTTTTAACTAATTATTTATACAACCTAACTATTTAATGTCTAACTTCTTAAGCTTCTTTATATATTATACCATTGACTGCTACATGTCTTTTTGAGATAATACATTTATATCGACTTTTCTATGGATGTGTGGTTTTTCATATTGTTCTTTTTAGATGAATTGATGATGCTTTCTGATTAAAGAGCGAAACGTCTTCAAATAAATAGACGAAGTAGCCACATATTGGATTAACGGTCGTACTCCTTTTACTGTTTTTATTCTTGTGTCATTATTCATATTTATGTTTTATTTTATTGTTTTATTTACTGTCATTATTCTTCTTCTTCAAGTGCCATCTCCGCGGAGGAGGTCGGCAATCATCATAGCTATTCGGACTTTTCAGATGGCTGCTCTGAAAAGGTCATTTGATGTACATCCGTACCACTCTCTCAGGTTGCGCAGCCATGACATTCTACGCCTCCCTATGCTTCTCTTTCCTTGGATCTTTCCCTGCATAATCAGTTGGAGCAACGTGTATTTCTCTCCACGTGTAATATGTCCTAGATATTCTAATATTCTTGTTTTAATTGTATTTAAAATTTCCATTTCTTTATTCACCCTTCCCAGAACCTCTTTGTTTGTGACGTGTTCTGTCCACGATAGTTTCAGAATTATTCTATACACCCACAGCTAGAATGATTCCAGTTTTTTCATTGATGTTGCATTCAAGTTTCAAGATTCCATTGCATAAAATAAAGTCGAAAAAACATAGCACCTTGCCAACCTAACTCTTAGTTCCAGTTTTAAATATCTGATACACAGCACTCTTCTCATTTTGTTGAAATTTGCTCTAGCCTTTTTTATTCTGATTTTGATTTCCTGAATGTTATCATTTGTTGAATAAATCATTGTTCCCAGATACGCATACTCGCCCACTTGTTCGACTTTGGTTCCGTTTATTAAAAGATTCTCGTTATTTCTTTGAGTTTTGGATATTCTCATAAATTTCATCTTTTTGACATTCGTTGTTAGACCATACTTTTTTCCATACTGTTCTATTCTGGTCACCAGTCTCTGAAGATCTTCAATGTTTTCGGCTAAGAACATAGTGTACGTCAAATGTATAGTATACATTTGATATGATCTTGAGGTCGTTGTAGTCAATCTTCTTTGATTTCAGGTCATTCACTAATTGTTTATGTCGTACTTTATCGAATGCTTTAGCATTTTAATTGTTTATGTCGTACTTTATCGAATGTTTTATTACAGTCAATAAAACATGCGTATATATCTTGATTGACGGCTAGGCATCTTTGTATCAGTATATTAAGTGAAAAAAGAGCTTCACGCGTTCTTAGGCCTTTGCGAAAACCAAATAGTGTATCATTAACGTCTATGTCCAATTTGTGATATATTTGGTTATGAATGACTTTAAGTAGTAACTTTAGCATATGAGACATTAGGCTAATGGTGCGGTAATCGCTGCATTCTTTTATGTTTTTCTTTTTAGGGAGACAAATAAAAATTGATGTTAACCACCCTTTGGGTAATACGCCTGAACTATAAAGTTGGTTCAAGAGTGTCACTAAAACATCAATGTGCTTCTCATCTAGACTTTTTAGGATTTCTGTAGTAAGCATATCAGGTTTAGGACTTTTCCTACTTTTCATTGTTTTTAATGCGTGTATTATTTCTTGTTTTGTAATATATGGACCTATTTCTTCTGACTTAATTTCGATGTGCTTCAGATCTCCTCTTTCATCGTCAAACAATTCGTCGATATATTCTGCCCATCTTTGTACTTTCTCGTCCGTATGTGTTATGGAAGTCCCGTGTCTATTAAGAATTGCACGAGTGGGATTTTGTTTTCTTAGTCCTGCCAGTTCTTTAACTTTCTTGTGTAGGTTAAACAGATCATATTTATTTTAAAGGTCTTCAATCACTTTGCATTTCTCTTCAATGTATTTTTCTTTTGTTTGCTTTATCATCTTCCTGATCTCGTGGCTTATCTCTCTGTACTTATTGTTCTCCTTGTTTTAAAATTGTCTCCGTTGTTCCATCATATTGAGTATCTCGTCATTCATCCATTCTTCTTTTCTTCTCGTGGAAGTCTTTAGTATATCTTCACAGGATTACAGTAGACAATGTTTTAGTCGATCCCAGTACTCGTCAATATCATTGATGTTTGTGTTCAATTTGTAGGGATTCTTAGATTTTTTTAAATATTTTTAAGGGTGAGTGTAATCTTGGCGATAAGTGGATTAGGATCTGAGGCCACGTCTAATCCAAGATATGCTTTCATGGCATCTTTCATTAATCATAATGTAGTCTGTCTGGTTCCTGACTACTTTCTACGATGTATCTGCGGGCGATCGCCATGTATACAGTCGCCTGTTTGGTAACTTGAAAAATGTGTTTGTAATAATAAAGTTCTGCTCTTGACAGAATTGTAACAGACGGTCTCCTCTCTCGTTTCGATTTCCCAGACCATAGTTTCCTATACACTTTCCGCTTTATCCATTTCCAATCTTTACTGTCCTTAATACATAATTATTTTTATATGGGCGTATCGTTGGTTTTTTCGAAACATTGATTGCGTTGGTATTTATTTTTTACTTCTATTGATTCGTATATCTTCCTCTTCTTTTTGTTTTTGTGAGCACAGCGATGTTGTTTTTGTCATATTTGCGAGAACGAATTCTAGATTAAAGCAGTTGAAATATATATCAATCAGATATTGAACTTTGAAGAACTTTGGTATTAAAATTATTTGTAATTGGTATAACTCTTACTTACAAACGATAATTTAAATACATTTACTTAACTCACTTTACACATAAACGCAAAACCCGGTACTTTAAAACAAAAAAAATTTGAGAAAAAAAAATGAAGATTTATTTGTTTTGCCAATATTCTTTTGCAAGAGCCAAGAAGCGGAGAATAAAAATTTAAATGCCCAAATGAAAATTTCAAAATTAAAAACCGATGTCTTACATTTTTAAGTTTATGTATTAAGCAGTAAAAAGAGCTTCAGTACATTCAGTATCTAACACTTTAATTATTATATCGCTTCTTATTTTATTGCAGATGATCAAGGAAGCCAACTCTCCGGTACAGTTGGTGTTGGTAAGAATGCCAGTTGTAATGATTTTCCCCGATGCAAAGTAGGAGATGTTGATGTCACTTTTAGATTTCTGCCTGGCACTGCAATGTCAGTCATATCGACCACCAACAACACGCAAGAGGTACTTAAAGACTGTTACTCCACAGCTTTTCCAGGTCCCTACATACAATGGTATGGGGGGCCACAGAGGCGTGTCCAAACGTGGCCGTTACAGAACATGATCATTTCTCAATCACAGCCTTATATCAGCAGAAAGGACGACAATCACGCCGTAGCTGAGAGATACTGGTTAAACTCAAGGGGTATTTATATTTATTTAAGTGAAGAGAATCCTTTGTTTGTGAGTCAAAATGAGGACGATTCCAAAGATCAAGTGTGTTTTATATCAAAGGTTCAATCGCCCTATATCAATAGGGATCAGGTACGATTTTTATTTAATAAATTACACAGAAAACTTACAAAAGTACAACAGACAATGTTGTTAACATTAAAGCCTATCATCATAATTTCTATTATTTATCCCTATGTGAATCTGTATATGAAATTATCTCTATGAGGGGTCGGCTTCCCTAATTACATTTCTCTATAAGTTTCTCACTTAGCACCACTCGCGTCCTTCTATTTCATCAGTACTCTGAAATACCGATACTAGATACTTTTAAAATTACTCTTCTTATTTATTTTAACATCCACAGTTATCATCTTATTTGTAGCAGTCTCTCCATATTTAAATGGAGATTTCGTCATCGTTTAGTCTGTTCCCAAAATTTTTCCAGTAGTTTCTAGTAATACTAATACCATCAGCATACATTAAGCACTAGCAAATGTTTTCTCTTTTAGTTTTTCTCTATTAGTAATATAATATCGTTTCACTATAGTTTTATGACTCTGTAACGTAAATTGAATCTGGCTGGGAATACAGAATACTCAGAAGTTGGGTACTACTGTTGATAAATAAACATATAGTTCTGATATCGGTACTTTCCGATGCAAATGGATAATTAGATGTTTATTCTATTCGAAGAGACACTAAAATATTTTTCTTCAAAGATTTTAAGATACAGTTCCAATGTTTATAAAAACTTTCTTTCGGATATTTGAAATACGTGAATTAAAATGCGATGTATATGCATGCTTAATTGATTATCATAAAGCGTTGGATACAGTAAAACACAAAAAGCTGATGAAGATATTACCAAATATTTTAATAAACACTTGTGATCTAATAATTATTAGTAATCTTTATTGGAATCAAACATCGTCTATCCGTACAGGGGTAGGAGAATCCGAAGATATCAAAATCAAACGTGGTGTCCGACAGGGATGTATACTATCACCCTTGCTGTCTAACATATACTCTGAGGAAATCTTTCAAGAAGTAGTAAAGGATGTTGAAGCCGGAATTCGAATTAACCCCTTTAGAAGTTAATGAATAGAATCATAGAAGTGAGTCAGAGATATGGACTTTCACTGAACATTAAGAAAATAAAATATATGATGATATCTAAGAAGGAACAGGAAATTAAAAGAATCAGTGTAATTGGTCAACCAATAGAAAGAGAAAACACGTACACCTACCTTGATATGAAGGTAAATGAAAATTATGACCATTTCCTAGAAATAAAAAGTAGGATAGAGAAGCAAGATCTGCATTAAAAAAAATGGCTAAGCTATTTAAATGCCACGATTTATCGGTACCTATAAAAATCAGGTTACTACGATATTATATCTTTACTATCCTGTTGTACGGAGTTAAGTCGTGGACTTTCACAGACGCTACCTGCAAGAAAATTGAGGCCGTCGAAATGTGGCTTTATCGTCGAATCCTGAAGATATCCTATACTGACCACGTTACTAACCAGGACGTTATATTAAGAATGCAAAAAGGAAAAGCACAATAAAAACCACAATAAAAACAGTCAAAATCGTATACCTCGGTCACATCATGAGGAACAGTAAAAGATATGGATTGCTGCAATTAATTCTTCAAGGAAAAGTAGAAGGATAAAAAAGACTAGGTAGGCGAAGGATTTCCTGGCTGAAAAATGTACATCCGTGGTTTAACACAACAACCACAAATCTTTTCAGAGCAGCAGTTTGCAAAATACAGATTGCCATGATGGTTGTCAACTTTCGAAATGGATAGGCACTAAAAAAAAAAAGAATTAAAATCTTATACAGTAAGGACCAAAAACATATTACAACCCTGTAGTTTGTGCAATGTAAACGTTTCCTTTGTTTTTGTAAAGAGGTCCTAATATTTTGTTTCTATTTCTTCACTTGTCTAGCATTTATCCCATTTCCGTAGTTTTTTTAAACAAATATATTAGCCAACTTATTTCTGTATCTCCTAACGCTATTCACACTTCCCCAGGGATATCATCTAGTCTAACTGCTTTATCTTTCTTTATTTTTTGACGTGCTTGAGCAACCTTCTTGTTTCTACTTTAATAACTCTTCTTTGTTTCTAATTTTTAAGACTATTGCTGTTGCTGTTTCTGTTGGAGTACCTAGTTTTCTACCAAATTCTTAGTTTAATAAACTGTCAAAGTATTTTTTTACATCAGTTTTTGGCATTTTTTTCGGTAACTAGTATAGCATTTTCTTCTTGACTACATCTAACCTAATTTAAATCTGGTGTGTCTTTTGCTCCATGTTCGAGTATTTTACATCGTCCTTTCCTCTCAGGTATCAAGTTAATTGTGCAGATTTATATACACTTCTGCTTTGATTTTTTCTACCACTATATTCGCTTTCTTTTTTTATTTTAATTTCATATAACTTCTGACTTCAATTCCAGTACAAGTAACTTATGTTGCTGGCTTACAGTCTTACTTACCCTGATATTGCAGTTCCTACATTTACCTATAACTTCTTTTTTTATTATAAAATAGTCTATTTGAGAATTATTTTGTCTTAACTTTCTTACTATCGAAAGTATGTGATAACAATCGTCTTACCTAGTGCTATTGCTGGTTCGAAAATATCAACCCAAGCATTATTGCTAGCTTTGTCCTCTATATATTACTTCTATCAATTTTGAATTTACCTACCTGTATATTAATATACAGGTAGGTATTAATATACAGGTATAGGTAGGTAATATGACTGTATTTTTATGAAAGCAATATATTTCGTAATTTTTTATAAAATGCTTTCGTTTTATTTTTACCCCTACTGACTTAAGAACCACACATAGACAAAATTGATAATTCATCATTCCTTTACCAAATATAAATTTCATTGACAATTTCATATCATTCTTTCTTACAAGATCTACTACGTCCTCTTTTATTTCTCTATCAGAATTCTCATCCTCATTCTGGCTTTACAACCCTGCATAGGTCCTAGCCTTATCAAGAATTTCTCTCCAGATGTCCATATCCAACGCCGTTCTCCACCAAGCACGTATTCCCAGATTGTTTATGTCTTTATCGATATTATCAAGGAACCTTGTTCTGTTCCATTTTGTTCCATTCGCATTACATGCCCTATCTACCACAGACGTCCTATTTTAATATGTTTTACGATATCTGGTTCATGGTGTATTCTATAAAGCTCGAAGTTATATCGTCTTCTTCAAACTTCATTGCCATTCATCTCTCCATAGATTCGTCTTAGCACTTTTCTTTTGAAACATCTCAAGATGTTTTTATTACTTTTTTATTTTTGTCAGAATTCTACCTTACATTCCATATTTTGTATCCTTCATCCAGTTTATTCGCCCGATGTTCTTTTCGCTTGGTATTTTGAATGTAATTTCTTTATATCGTCCTTCCTTTAAGCGTATTTATCAATCCATACCTTTACCTGCAAGACTTTTAACATTCCAAGACCCCATCCACATTTTTTATAACTTCAAATGTTTCTTCAGCGTTTCTCCTGAAATAAACCTCAGCGGAAATCCGAACGGACACTCTGCTTGATTCTGTAACATTTTATCTCATAAGAGACATCATTTCAGTATAATTTTTGCTATGTACTACAGACTACCAACACAACCAAAGTGTAGTATTACCCCACTACTGCTTAAATTTTTCTGTACAGGCCTGGACCCCTACTGGAAAGACAGCCCTGTTAGTTAATGTATTTTTGCCCGTATCTCGCCACTAGAAAGCACGTATAAACACGAAGAACGTAAGAATGTGGTGCTAGAAGCCTTAACGATATAAAAATTAACGTATTAATACCAGTAAACAAATTTCTTGATACTATATCTTTAAATATTTTTAATATCAGATAATTTTTAGAACATTCTGGAATATGTAATATATTATGGTAATGATCCCAAAACATCTCATTTACATGCCGTAAATAATTATTTAGGAAAACCAAATGGTAAGCTTAGTTTTATTTAATATTATTCTATTATAGTTTTTTTAGAACTAAGTCTAAGGTTAAATACTGATATTAAGTTACTAACTCAAAAAATGGCAGCGACTTAATAAGAGATTTCAATATTCGAATCGGACTATCCTAACAGACCTTAAACAAAAATATAACGAATTTTTGCTTCTACAATAAAAAATACACGTAATAGCTTCATTAGCACATGCTTAAAAATATGTGATCAGCACACATGTCCTATGAATGTGAAGTAGAAACCATGCACAAAAAACGAGAATCGATCAACACCATCAAAATAATAAGGGTCCAATATGTTGTATAATGAGGGTAATATAAATAACGCTTATTTCAATTGATCATTCAGGGCAAAAAAGCAAAACGTTGAATTGGAAGAAAACATCAGAAAGTACATCTTTACGAGGGTAAAAATAAAAAAAAAATGCATTGGTTAGATAACCCTTACGAGTTAAAGAAAAACAAGGAGGTGAAAATAAAAACATGGAATATAAAGGGTTGAATATAAAAGGTGGAATTATTCCGGCCCATCAGCCTACTACCAGTGCTCTCCAAAGTGTTAAAACTTTTACCAAGAAGACTAACACCTCTCCCAGAAGACAAGAGAATAATTCCAACTCATTACAATGTCATCTAACTCATCAACAGATTCTGGCAGAAACATTCTACCATTCAACAAGTACATCGAATAGTAAACAGAATTCATAAAGACCTCTAGGCATTCAGATATTGCAGCGCTTTGATCATGATTCATAGGACAAGCGTTTGACAAAGTATGGTGACAGGGGTTGCTCTATAAGCTGAGGAGTGTTTAGCTCTAAACCATTACCCACTACTAAAGTCATATCTTATAAATATACGTTTTAGAGTCAAATAAAACAATAAAATAACAGAGAACTCCAACCCATAACAGCGGGAGTCCCACAGGGAAGTGTATTGGGTCCTGTCCTACTCTAATACGGTGATATTGGCGACTTGTCAATATCACCTGCCACAACAACAGCTATATTTGCAAATGATACGCTGATCTTATACTCCAAAAAGAATCCACACATCGCACCAGAACTCCTGCAAAATAACACATGAGGTCGAAAAATGGTTACAAAAATTTAGAAGTAAACCCAATGAGCAAAAGTCGATACATGTTACATTTACAAACCGTAGAGGACCATGTCCACCTGTACAGTTTGTCCCAAACCCTTCTTTCAGTGCGTCACTAATTTTGATGTTATATAGGATTTTAAGAATGTCGAGAATTATTGCATGACATTTTAGTTAATTCTAACAGTTGCAGGATCGTAATCGTATAAATGTAAAATAGTAATTTTTTTTATCATGGTTCTTGAAACACATATATATATATCTCTCTTTTAACCTTTCTACTAAAGAGTGTTTAGTCCAACTTGAATTTGGTATTTTTTCCACTAAACTGGAGTGGTAAGATGCATTGTCCATAATTATTAACGACGGTTCTTCTAAATTTGACAAAAGTTGATATTCAAACCATTTTTAAAAATTTTTTGCATTCATCAAATCATAATAATCTCCAGTTTTTTTTCAGTTTTTAAAAATTAGACTGCAATAATCAATGAATCCCTTTTTACAACCCGCATAGAGTACAATATATCGTATACCTTCTCCAGTCCTCTTTATAACAGCAATAATGCTGCCATCTTGCCAACTCTTGCGGAATCCTCCGCTGCTATATATCCAGGTCTTATCCAGGAACACTGGTTGCAACGGGTGTAAATCATGTTAATTTTTTTTGTATTCTTTTAAAAATTGTAATATTTTATATGTCACATGTAATTGTTCCATTAGATATTTTCGATTTGATATATTGCAGTTTAACCATCTGAATTTCATTGCAACAGAATACCTAGCATCTGTTTGACTGCCTTCATTTGCCAATCGTCTTACTGTTGGTAATGAAACTCCTAACGCCTCGGCAACACGCTTAAATGTATAGTATTTAAACTACTATTATTATTTATTAGAATAATTTAAAACTTACTTCACGAACGGCAGAAACTGGTAAGAAAGTTCTCCCAGCCTCTTTTTTTAATTAAAAATAATTTAATAATTTTAACATTAGTCTTTGTTCATTCTTGGTATATCTCGGCATATTTAAAATATTTTTTTGACAGTGAATACAAAATTAAATTTTCACTGAATAGTATCTGAAAATACTAACCTGGAATGACATTATCATTTTATCAGTTGACATTGTCAAAGTACTGTCACGATCGAGACCATCTGCGTCAAATTATATTTATGCCTATCATTAATTTGATATCTATTTAGCGTATTCTAAACTCCAACCAATTATACATCCGTAAGTAGAATTTGCTTTAATATACAAATACCCGTGAACGATACATAATTGTATAATAATCACAGACTCACGTTTTTTTCTGTCACTTCTAGCTTAATTCGTTAGATAGAATTCGAATAACTATGACGCACTGAAAGAGGGGTTTGGGACGGACTTTATGTATTAACTGCAAACAAATACCACAGAAGATGATGTAAAGTACCTTGGAATTCACTTGGATAAAAAACTGACATGGAAGAAACACATATCGTCCAAAAGAAAAAAACTGGGTCATAAAGTGAAAGACATATACTGGCTAATAGGAAAACATTCCCAGTTAATAACTCAAAATAAATTACTTCTATACAAAGCGGTGTTGAATCTAATATAGACCTATATGATAGAACTGTAGACAACACCGACAAATTCTAATGTAGAAATTATACAAAGGTTCCAATCCAAAATACTAAGCATGATTTTAAATACACAGTGGTATATGGCATGATACTATAAATAACAAGATAGGATCTTCCCGTAGCCCAAAATCGGTCGTGTTCGCGCATGCCGTCATTGGAGAGTAGAATTTGAATTCTTGTTAAAGTTAAATGGGATTTGAATGCATTCTGTAATGAAATTACTGGACGAAAATAAGTTAAAAAGTTCAATAATTATTATTTATTGACACATACAAAAAACTGACATTTCGAACGTACAACTATCCAATGACGTCACGACTTATGCGCAATATCTTATCTCCTTATCATAGTATCATGGTATATGGTTATGCCATATATATATATATATATATATATATATTATATATATATATATATATATATATATATATATATATATAATAATGCCGTACATCGAGATGCAGAAATAATTTATGTACTTAAAGAAAGAAATTACATATCGAATAAAATAATACAATGACCGATTGCGGGAACATCCAAATCATCTAGCAAGGAATTTGATGCAGATATGAGCAAACAAAAAGTATAGTGCTAATAATGTTTTCCAGGAACCAATAATAGTTTATTACCACTAACATTAAGATCGGCATATTCATCGATATATTCCCACATTTCAATAATTTATCCACCATAATTATTACTTACTGCTTATTTTGTACAAAATGCAGATTGTAATAAATTGGGATGTCAATAAAAAAAAAACAAAAAAAGTTATGAATAAAAGTATATTCACGCCAAACGACTTTTTTGTAAAAAGCGTTTTTTGACATCCTGTATTATAGACCATGGAAATACAAGAGTGGAAGACAAATACTTTAGATAATATGGAGTGGCGATCTTGAGAAACATGCTAGAACAATATGGCTAAACTGCAGCATTGGATGTTGATATTATATTTATTAAATTCCTAAATTCCTAAATATGGTTGAAATCAGGCACCAGATAGAATCAAAACTATTAAAATATTCTATTTTTATGTTTTTATTAACTATTTACACATATTACAACTATATACTGAAATTTTACTAGGTCATCCAAATCCAAAAATGATCAAGGAACCAATCTGGACGACTTGGGCTAAATATAAAGCTCCAATAACAGATGATATAGTGATCGAGTTTGCAAAAAGCATTAGGCAAAATGGGTTTGAAAATGGACAGCTCGAGATTGATGATGCATGGGAGGTAAGTTATTTTGTAATCTGAGCATTCGGATATATGTACCACCTATACTACGATATTAATAGTAGTTTATACACGAATCAAACAAAATAGCGACAAATAAAAAGTAACAGTGTTAAGTGACTAAACAACATCAATATTTTAAATTTCACCTTAAAAAAAAATAAAAATGTATGTACCATATTTCGTAATACACTCACTATAACAAACAGCGATGGTTTGGAACGGAAATGCCGAATGACTTCTTCAAATCATATAGTCCTATATTTTTGTCACACTTCAAATAGGAATGTCCTCTAACAGGAAATGTGATATTTATTTCTTTCAGATTATGAATTTTGTTGTTTACTACAAAATGAATAAATCGAAAAATAGTTAAGTTTTCATTTTGTCGTCCTGTAGAGTCACAGAACATTTGCAGTGCTTCAACATGGTCTTGTAAATAATTATTGATAGAATGGAGAAGAAAAGACGCAACTTTGTTTGAACCTTTTTTAGCAATTCCTTCATGATAGGTATAAAAAATAGACTGACCAGAAGAGAGGACATGTAGCTTAAAAGCATAGATAGGCAATTGGCATGTATAGTACACATAGCTAGAAAATTTCGGAATTGAAACATTTTTTGGAAAATCATTGCAGATGGCTTCCTTTTTGTTGCATTTTTTGCAGATTTTTTGGCTTGCTTTTTCTCGAATAGAACATTTTTTTAAGCTTAATTTAAAATTCCTTACACGTTGCGCATGTGTCATTTCTGGGGTATCTAAAAGCAATATTAAATTCCTTATTAAAAATTGTTCTGTAACTTTCATGTTTAGCATTTAAAAGCTTTTCCTTAAAAAGGTTAAACATTTTTTGATTATCATAAGTTGAAATAATAAGTCTTGTAAATAAGTCTTTATTGTATCTTCAGACTATGGTGGCTCTGACGACCCTTAAAAGTTTTAATGTGGTCATTTATCAAACCTTTTGCTAAGTCATCCAGCTTCCTATGGATTGCACTATGCTTTCCACGTCTATCCTTAGGAGCTGCACGTTTTCGTTTTAGGCTTTCCTTTATATTATTAATTTTATCCACGAATGAAACAAAAAGCTTTGGCACACACCCGAATATCACAATCGCGAACTCGAACTCAATACACATAACTTGCATCATTTAAACTGGCAGTATTCTCCTTCGACGAGGCCTTCTATGCTGGACAGGTAAGACCGTAATTAAACCAGCCAAATAATAATTTTGCTCATCGTGAGAGCGCAGAGCATTTCAAAATTTCTTTATATTAAAATCCGTAAACTAATTTTCAAAACCAAATTCAGATTTCTGCTTTAATCTGTGCCTTCTAAGAATTGCAAGTATTGCTAACACTACTGCCCTAAGATACTTTTTGTTCTCTAATAAATGCTCAACCAATAAGCAGGAGCCCTTTTATGGGCTAAACAACAGGTAAACGCAGTACGCCTTTGACTTCGACCTGATTCTTCAAAATCTCGTTCAAGAATGATCTCAATAAAATTCTCAAACTGCAAATTTGATTTCCATTTCAACTCAGATTCTCACGCCAGTCTCAATGGAAAACTCCGATATACCGCTATTTGTGCTGAATAAAACAAACATTGAATATTTATTTTAGACCAAGAAAACTAAACTGTTCATATTAGGAAATTTTGAGATGTTTATAAAAAACATTCCTGCGAAAAGTTACTGTTATGTGAATTAAATGTAATTTGAAGAAATATTTTGAATCGTTAAAACATATAGTAGAAAGGCTAATTAAAAATAAGAGCCCGATCTTTATATGCTTCATGGAGTTGACATTTTGACTCCAACTAAAATAAAAAAAGACATATTATGAATAATTGACGAATTATTAATACACTCAGTAATAAGACGATTTAATAGCTTAAGTTAATTGGTAATAAACAAAATAATAAAAAAAGTGAGAATGTTGAAGGGGTACAAAATAGGAAACAGGAATTTTAATGTAATTAAATTACTATTTAAATGAGTTTTAATATCGTCATATGCTAGACAGATGAAGTTTACTAGAATATTATAATTTCTAAATAGATAGTTATAATTGAATGGTGGATCGCAACAATTTTGTAAGCGGCAGAATTAAGATTATGCAAGAGGTGAAAAAAAAAACATGTTGACAAATTATTTATGAAAATAAGCAATGAAAAAAAATTAATTTTACTTAACAGAAGATAAAGTAATAGATATGTAAACAAATTATGCAGGTTTACACAGAAAAAAAATTATTTCAAAAAAATATTCCAAGAACAATGTTGTATATACTGGATATGTAAGTGTTGCAACTGAATAATAATAACTAATAACCATCGGTCAGACCAGACTATGAGTTTTTTTTATTTCTCCTGAGTTCAATGGACGAAAGTTAAGTTTTATGTAACACAGGAAAGCTGAAGCGATATCTGTAGAACCACGATTTCCAATAGATTCATGCCACAACATCAAAGGCATCGATTGAACCTGCATCGTGAATATCGTAGTAGTAAGTGGCATACTGACGTTGGTAGAACATTGAAGAATAAGCAATGTTGGACAGTACAACACTTGTTGAAGATCAGTGAAGAGTACGACGAGTTGTGGATTAGCCTTTTCAGTATCAAACTTCAATGCTTTATATCTAGCCTCAGCACGTGTATGGTGGAGTTTACGATCAACAAGAATAGCATTTCTTTCTGGACAGTCTGGAGTAACCACAAGCTTGATGTACATTTTATCACAAAACGTACACGTATCTGAGCGAGGGAGACTAAAGCGCAGATTAAAGTCTGATTGAAATATGTTAGTGTAAGTGCGCCGGGAAACATTGCATTGCGGATACTTTTTACAAAACAGTTTGTATATTTTTTTCAAGTTTAATTCAGCAGGAAGGCAGTTCTTCGTAGATGCATCGCGAATATAATGGTTTCTTGATGTGCAAACGACTTTATGTGTTCTCTTATACGCTTTTTTCGGTTTCGTTGATTTTACTAGACCTATTATTGCGTTTTCTACGATGATTACGTAGCGGCATATCTGTTTTTATCTTCTGCTGAATGTGTTGGATTCTTCGAGGTGATATTCGAAACGCTTGACGTATAGTTTTTTGGCACACTGGTAATTTATTCAGTCCAATCTGGATGTGGTATCATATAGTACATTATCGTCTGGAGATGTCTTCTGGAGTCCATCTACGTTGTGGCTCTAAAACTTTCATACAACTGGCTAGGTGCGCAGTTTGTGTATTATAATCTAGCCTATGAAATGTTGTGAAGAGCTCTCCAAACTGGCCTTAAATTTTAGCAGCTTCGAATTGTTGCACTCATCTTATGTAAGCGGAGTATTGCTGGTACATTCTCGTTTCTAACAGATACATATTTTCACCTGCATTTATCCGATGCTTACGGATATTTCTCTTCTCCTGGTTAATATTGATTTTGCGTTTTCCCTCTATTTATGTGCAAAAGGGTAGACAGCGACACGTTAACCTCCATTTTTGCAGTGATAGTACTTTGACACTGACGTAAATACAACATTTTTCACGGATACCAACATTGCGTTACGAAAAACTCAGGGAAGGCAAAATATTTTTAACTAGATTGAAAGATGCTGGCATTGGTCTTTGGATATACAACAATATTGCATTAAAACCTTCTTTGACCCAATCTGTCGCTTACAAAACTGTTGCAGGCCACGATTTAATTGTTTAATTAGATCACCTCACATGACTGGCAAAATCCCCAGAAGAGGTAGCCCAAAAAGAACTTCCATAGAGGCCATAAGACACTCGCTAGTCTATTTTGAGATATCGTGAACAAAATTATTACAGCAAATATTGTTATTAGTTTTATTATTGTAAATTATATTTTGTTATTATAAAAACAAACTATTCCTACGTTCTTAGTTTCCCATCTCATCCTCTTTATTATTAATTATATATTTTTTATTAATATTTCTACTACAACTACTATATTTTGTACAGAAATGTTACGGTGCCCAAGAATTTTCAGATGAGAAATTTGCCAAAATTTCTGATACTGTTAAACAACTAAAAGATATGGACTTCAGAGTGACATTATGGGTTCATCCATTCGTTAATGAAGACTGCAAGTATCGATCTGATGAGGGCGTCAAAGGCGGTAAGTTGCGAACAAAGGTTATATACAAAATTTTTAAAAAATCTGTAGATAATTAATATTCATTAATGCTATTTTTATTTAATCTAAAACATTTTTAAGTTTTAATTACTATTTAACTGGAAATAAGCCACAATTAAATATAAAAATACGTTTATTGACGTTTCAATTTCCACTTCGGAAATCGTTCTCAAAACACAAACAGTAAATTAAACAAATTTTGTTTTTTGTTTCTTATAATTTAATTTTATCTGATTCATTTATATTGACAATTCAGACATACATTATGCATTTTAAAGTAGACGACTTTAAAATGATATTGCCAATATTGTTGAGTTGCGCTCCTGGGACGACTTTACTTATAAGATAGTTCATTCGATTACATGAAATCAACTTTAACTTGAGAATATCCGTCAGAAAAAATCATAGCATTTAATTCGTCTTTAAAAAGACAAACACGTGACATGATGTCAGTAAAATTATCGCATGGGATAATGAACATAGGGTTCAATGGAATAATTCAAATGTAGTCCTAAAAGAAACAGATGGTTAAAAAAAATCAAAGAAGCGGCTCTAATTATGCTAAATGAGGCTAATTGTGTCGCAAATTCCTCGGCAGAATGTAGTAGGATCTGGTTACCAATATTTAAAGAGGAAGTTATTAATAAGAAAATACCAGTATTAGTGAGTCAGTAACATATAGAGGATACATCATTTATGTTTTTTAAATAACGTAACATATAAAATCAGAATTTTGATGTTTGTTGAAGGTAAACTAAATTCACGAACAAATACTTACCATGTCGGGATAGTATTATGAGGTTTTTTTTCATGGTTTTTCCCTCATAATTTACTATGGAATCACTAACAGGAGAATTTTACTGTCATCATGTCATGTGTTTGTCTTTTTAAAGACGAATTACATGCTATGATTTTTTCTGACGGATATTCTCAAGTAAAAGTTGATTTCATGTAATCGAATGAACTATCTTATAAGTAAAGTCGTTCCAGGAGCGCAACTCAACAATATTGGCAATATCATTTTAAAGTCGTCTACTTTAAAATGCATAATGTATGTCTGAATTGTCAATATAAATGAGTCAGATAAAATTAAATTATAAGAAGAATTTTTCACTATGTAACAAAAAACAAAATTTGTTTAATTTACTGTTTGTATTTTGAAAACGATTTCCGAAGTGGAAATTGAAACGTCAATAAACGTATTTTTATCTTTAATTGTGGCTTATTCCCAGTTAAATAGTAATTAATTTACAATGCCACAAGAAAATAGCTTCAGAACAATTTTTAAGTTTATTTACATTGACTTTTTTTATTTGTGTCTCACAGTTTTGGTTTTATAAATCAGGAATTGACGATGCGAATGGAAATGTTTTCTATTCTAATAGAGACATGGAGTAGCATTATCTTGATTTATCTGTAATTTCAACTAATGGTTGTGAACTATTAAATTTCCTTTATATTGAAATTTACGGTCTTTTCAACACAGAGAAACATATTTCTGCAATTTCTGTAATTTATATAGGGCGACATATTATATAATTATATACCAGAAAGTAGTAATGGCTGCATTTTTTTTTCAAAAATTAAACCTCAGTTAATGCAAGATTGAATATAGACTCAGAAAGAAGGTGGGATTTCTTAAGTAAATGGCTGAGTATCGCTGCGTAGCGCCAACTACTTTGGATTGTAGAAAATACGTCTATCTTGAATATTTTGTATATGTAAATGAGCAACAATTAATTGTTATAAAAATTACATTTTTTATATTGCTTTGGCGCTTTTAAAAGTATAAGATGATCTTAAAGAAGAAGAAAAATAGGACTGGAAAATAGCTGGAGCAGAACTGTAAAAAGAGATCATGACAGAATTGGCCTGAGATAGAGAGATGAAAAAAAAACTACGTACGTGGTTCAACACAACAAACACAAATCCTTTCAGAGCACCATTTGGCAAAATACAGATTGCCATGATGGTCGCCAACATCAGAAACGGATAGATACTACAAGAAGAAAAAGAAGAGATGCCAAACAGAGAGCGAGAAGTAAAGAGAAATGAAAAAGACTTGTAGAGGAAATTCCGAAGGAATAAAATAGAAGAGGATGCACTTTTGGCTAAGAAATTCAAGAGCGCCCAATACTCCATAAGGAGGAAAGTAGACAGAGAGAGAGAGATAGATAGAGAGAGAGAGATAGATAGAGAGAGATATAGAGATAGATAGATAGAGAGAAAGATATATAGAGAGAGAGATAGATAAAGAGATAGATAGAGAGAGAAAGAAAGAGTGCATTTAATAAAGAAGAAAGTGCTTTACCATTTGAATCTTGCATCTGCATAAAATTGCACGATTACAATGGCCAAAATACTTGAACAAGTTTAAAAATTAATGTTTGATTTGTCCTATTCTTAAGATTTGACTATTATTAACCAAGGAGATTAAAATCTATTTTCGTACCTAAATAATAATTCGGTGGTAAGAGATTTTTGTCTAATTGAGCGGTAAACGCTTTTGTGAATATCTATCTAAGTGTTAGGAAAACAGTACACTATATTAAAATTTAAAATGCTTTCTTGCCAAAAATAGCTTACTTTTTTTGTGAGACTATGAGATTCCATAATGTTAATTATTATTTTCTAGATTTCTTCGTTAAAGGAGCTGACGGTCTAAATAATGCAACTTGGTGGAATGGAAATGGAAATGGCCACCAAATTGATTTTACAAATCCAAAAGCTGCCGAATGGTACACAGCCAGACTAAAAAAATTACAAGCCAATCCTGGAATTGACAGCTTTAAATTTGATGCAGGTGAAGCAGACTATGCTGAACAGGCAAGTTTTTGTATTAGGCTATATCTTTTCGTTTAACATAATTTTAAATAATGTAAGCATATTGTTAATTATTCAATTTAACTCTTTGTGTTCTTATTATTATCGTAATATTGATATTACATTTATAATACAATATTTTACATTTTTCCCCTTGGTTTACGCTCTACAATTTTAATGCAGGATTATCTAATCATGAAGCAGTATATCCCAAGTTTGACACTCTTAACTGACCATACTTGAAAACCCAACGTTTAGGTAGGATTTTTTCCGCTCAGAACTTTCGTAAATTCCAAAATTTGTACTTGACTTCTGGGTGGCTTTTCCTCTGTGGACGTGGACTATAACAGTGATTTTTTAGATAGGCTTTGCTGTATTTTCAATAAGGCATTTCTGTTAATTACAATTAAGTCAAAACATCACAAACCCTGGACTATCAGAGATATCCGCATATTAGCCAAGAACGTAGTATGTGTTCATATATATCTGTATATCAAATATATATACTGTATATCAAAAAATTTACTACTAACGTCTTTGTTACTGAATATGTCTTCAAGTATGGTCTTCACATATGAACCTATCTAAAATTTACCAAAACAGCTAAAGTCGTCTTGGAAGCTGTATAAATTCTGCAAAAGAAACTTAGTCCTTCGAAATCAAATTAACACAGCTCAAACATTTTCTCTTCCAAACACTAAAAATTCAAATGAATACTTCTTTAATGTTCCTATTTCTTATCTCCCTAATTTAAGCAAGGTCAGTTGATATATCTGAACTGATCCAAACATTCAGAAGTATCAAAAGCAAATCTTTCTGTAGTACTGATGGATTATCCATACAAATTTTCTTAAATTTCCCAAAAAAGGGTTTATTTCCAGAGTGCCTAAAGATAACCATTATTATTCCTCTTCATAAAGGTGGTGAAAAATCGAATGTCGGCAACTATAGATTTATTGCCTTACTACTAGTCCTATCCAAAATTATTGAGAGATTCATAAATGTCCTTTCTCGTTGAAAACAACATTTTATCACAAAGTCAGTTCGGCTTTTTATCTAATAAATTTACTAGCGATGCTATATTTTCTGTACTTCATGAGATATATCATGCACTAAACAATAATCGTTTCACTGCCACTCTTTTTTGTGACTAAATCCCGACATTGTGATAAAAAACAAAATTTCTACGGAAATCAGGGTATTTCATTGAATTGGTTCGTATCTTGCTTGAAGAATACGAAACAACTAGTTGGAGCAAAGGGTACTGATTCTAGTCAGAAAAGAATTGTATGTGAAGTACCACAAGGTTCAGGATTGGGTTCTCTACTTTTTCTTATCTTTATAAATGACATCACTAACTTAAAAATCGATGGAAACATTTTACTTTTTGCTGAGGATACCAGTATTACCTGGAGGAACTCTAATATTGCAACTCTTGCAACTATAACTTCTAATCTACTTAATATAAAAACCTAGTCCTTTTAACGTGAATAAGACAGTACCATTATCCTATAAAGGAGCTCTTTAACCTTTGCTTCTTAATAAGAACCAGATCAGTTTCGTTAGTTCCGTAAAATTTCCTGGTATTTTATAGACAGCAACCTTAAAGGTTCCTTCATACAGATTTGTTAAGTAAGAAACTAGCCTTCGCCTGCTGTGCAATAAGATCTGTTTTGAAGGAAATCAATTTAGCGTTCTCCAAAATAATATATTTTTTTTTATTCGAGTCTCATCTTCGATATGGCCTTCCTTTTTTGGTTTATAAAAGGCAATACTGTATCGTTTTGGCCTCAGTAGAATAACACATTGCAGAAGTTACTTCGGAAATCACGGATTTTTAACTCATCCTTTATATATTTTAGAAACTGTTTTCTTAATTCATAAACACCTACATGTTTTTCCAGCAAGACCTACTCATGACTACTTCACCAGAAATTCAACCTTTGATATGTATTTACCGATCCCGTCCAGTAAGTTAGTAAAAAAATCTATTACATTTGGCAAGTAAATTATACAACCATATCCCTTTACAACTTAAATCTACAACTTCTTTCCTTAAGTTCCGTAAATTGACGTAAGAAGGCTATCTATCTGAAAGACAATATTATTCAGTTTCTTAACGAATAACCAAGACATTACAGTACGTTTAGATACAAATAACTTAAGTATTTATTTAAATTTTGCTATGGATTGTTTATTTTATATTGTTATCTTGACAATTTAGGTACTTTTAGTAAATTTTAAATTGATATTTTTCTGACTATTTGTAAGCTTTGTCCATAAAATTGTACAATTTTTAGTGACAATAAAGCATATTTTTATTCTATTCCATATTGATGTAAATATCTTTTTGTACTTTTAGCCTGCTGTTTTTCCGTATGTATCAAAAGCCGAACAAAATCTGGTGCCAAATATACTCACCACCGAATACATAAAAACTTGTGCTAGTTTTGGAGATTTGATTGAGGTTAGGTCTTCATATAGGTAAGACCCGAAAATCACATAAAAGTTTAAACTCAAAATAATTACTTTACTTTTCGTAGAAGAATTTTTGAATAGCAGGGGTCGTAATCTTATCGTAAAAGTGGTTATGACCCAAAATAATCAGCATCTATAACTTTATTATTTAACCCTTTCAGTGTATTTGTTCCTCCAGAGGGACATTACGATAAATACCACTGAAGTATACATATGTCATTTTTTGAGGAAAAATTATATTATTTATTTTACTTGCTTTATTTTTCATAATTCCAAGATTATTATTGGTAAAAGTGTAATTGTGTCTTGCTGAGTTAAAAATAATACAAAACTTTTTTACGCCAAAAATATTTATTTATATAAAAATCATAAAACAAACATTATTTTAAATGCAATTTTGAGAAACAGTTCCTTCCCTTCATAAGACACAGATGAACCTCACATTTGGAACCAAATATATGAGTCTTATTTTTGCATCTGTCCAATTTGCATCTAGAACTTTTTTTTCGTCCACATTGGGAGTACGATTGTAGCCGTCATATCTCATATTTACAAAAGGTCTTGCTTCACACTTTTTTTTTTCTTGAACTTGCGAATCTGTGTCCCTTGGCCTTCCTCTCTTAGAACGATTTTTAAATAGTATGAGATGCTCTGCTATACCTTCAGGAAATGCGCGAAGATCAATTATCTTGTTTTTGTTGATTCTTATTGCAAGAGCTTGGTGCTTGTATTCTATCCATGAATTCAATAAAGCCAGATCAATTGCGTGAAATATCATCTTAATAGTCCATGGAAAAACAATAGGAGGAGGTATTTCGTAGACAGGATCTGGAATAGGTTTATACCACCTAATATGTCTTGTTTCATGTGTAACATTATTTACCCATTTATTTTTAGATTTTTCAGTAAGGCTATATGTTTCGTGAAAGTCTTCTATTTTCTTTTTTAGATCAACATTTTCTTCTAGTTCCGTTTCGTTTTAATTTGGTCCCTCTGAGGTCTTTAACAAATGTGCCTTTTTCATGGTCAGACTCTTCGTCATACAACAACGGAACATCCGAGTCGTGATCATTTTCTAAATAGTACTGTAGTCTTCTTCGTCTAGCCATTCACGTCCACATCTGAACATAAGCCTCTTCAAGTCTTCCTTTCCATTGTTTTTTATTGTACGCTACTTGTAGCCAATTTTTCCCGGCAGTCCTTTTCAGATCATCTGTCCATCTCATAGGAGGCCTGCCTCTGGGTCTTTTGTGTTGGTATGGTCTCCAGGTTAAAATTGATCTGTGCCATTTGTTTAGATCGCTCCTAGCTACATGTCCAGCGTATTCCTATTTCAACTTTAATGATTTTTGCACCACATCGGTGACTTTGGTTTTCTGTCTTATCCATGTGTTTGTTTTCTTGTCCTTAAGTGATATACCTCGCATTGCTCTTTCCATCGCGTGTTGAGTGACTCTAAGTATATTCATATTCTTTTTTGTGATTGTCCATGTTTGTGCCGCATAAGTTAATATCGGAATAATGCATGCATCAAAAACTTTAGATCTAAGATGTAATTGAATTTGTTGATTTCTGAGTATATAGTTCAGTTTACCGAATGCTGCCCAAGCTAACTTTCTTCTTCTTTTTATTTCTTCCGTTTGAATTTCCCTATTTAGGATTATTTTTTGTCCTAAGTACATATATTCTTCAACTTTTTCTATAACTTTATCGTTTATTATTGTCACGGTGTCTTCAGAGTGCATGACTTTTGTTTTGTTTAAATTCATCTTCAGTCCTATTTTAGAAGATTCGGTATGTAGTTCTAAAAGCATGGTTTGCATTTCTTGTAGGTCAGTAGCTATCAGGATTATGTCATCTGCAAATCGTAGATTACTGAGGTAGCGGCCATTGATGTTTATTCCCTTATATTTCCAATTTAGGTTTTTAAAAAAACGTCCTCCAAAACAAAGGTGAACAGTTTGGGTGATAAAGTATCTCCCTGTTTGACTCCCCTGTTTAATGGTACAGGGTTCGTGTGTTCATTTTCATTTAGGTAGTATGTAGCTGTAGCTTGGTTCATAGTTCCTTTTATTAAGTTAATATATCTGCTGTCTATTCTACAATTTTGCATTGCGTTTATTACGGCCGTGTGTTCTATGGTATCGAAAGCTTTTTCGTAGTCTACAAATGCTAGGAAAACTGGAAAATTGTATTCGTTACATTTTTCTATTAATATTTTTGTGGTTAACAGGTGATCGGACGTTGAATAGCCTTTTCTAAAACCTGCCTGTTCATATGGTTGGTATTCGTCTAATTTCCTTGTTAGTCGAGTAGTTATGACTTTGGTGAGTATTTTAAACAGGTGTGGCAGTAGGCTGATGGGTCTGTAGTTTTCCAATTTTCGACTATCACCTTTCTTGTGCAATAAGATTACTTTAGAGTTGTTCCAGCTCTTAGGGACTTTGCCCTGATGTAAACAACTGTCCATAAGTTTAGTTACAATTGCAATTAGTTCCTTACCTCCTTACAATATCATATCTGTGGTAATACTATCTTCTCCTGCAGCTTTATTTCTCTTCATGTTTTCCAATGCTGTAGTTACCTCTGAAATTGTTACTTTTGGCATTATTTCTGATCCAACATTTTTTATTAATTTCCGTGCTGGTCTCATCTCATCATCTTGTTGATGTGATCTGTAAAGTTCTGTGTAAAATTCTTCTATTCGTGTCAGTATGTTTTCTCTACTTGTGATTTCATTTTCGTCTTTTCCCATTAATGATATCATCTGACGTCGTCCTAGTGTCGGTCTGAGGCATTTCATACTCTTATTTTTTTTTCAATAGTTGTTGTTATTAATTTTTCGTTTTCTTTTATTTTTTGTTGTCTGATTCCTTTTCTAATCTGCCTATTTAGTTCTCTATATTCGTCGGTTCCCCTTTTGTTAGATTTATTTAAGATCTTCCTTCTTTCTATTTGTTGTAATATTTCTTTGTCTAATTCATTGTATGTTGTTTTTGGTTTTTTCAATTCAGTACTGTAGTACTGTACTAAAAAGTTCCTGTTCAGTAAGTGTCTTTTTGTTTTTCCATATTTCCTAAAATAAAAAAGATACCATAACTAGTAACGAGTATGTAAGACAAAATGTGCAAATCATAAAAATTACATACAATTTTTTAAAACTTCATAAAAAGTATAGCACTAATCCATTAATAATTTAAGCATAAAGTTCGTTTGTCCCTGCACAGCGACATAACAAAAATACTCCCTCTTTAAACACCAAACTATCTTTAAATGCAAATCTGTTGATAGGTATAGCAAAACTAACTCTTATACTGCTTCATTAACAACTAAAAAACAATCTTTTAAAAAATCAAATCAAAGCCCAACCTACTTATCAGACACTGATAGAACAAGGTTTGAACTTAAATTTAGGCAGTTGGTAAATTCAAAACTAATATTTTTTACTTCTTATTTTGAGTCATGAAAATGGTTATTTTTCGTCTTCTTTTTCTGTTTTAAATTGTTTATAGCTGAAGACAATCAAATTTAGAGAACATTACAAGAGACATTTTTTGTCCAGAATGATCCAAAAAATAAAAAAAAATGTCCGCGTCAAAAAAAAGTTATTCAAACAATTTGCTTAAAAAAATTGTTTAAATAAATTACAACCACTTTTTTGATGGTTTATTTTTACCTTCCCTAATTATCCGCTTTGCCGTACTTTCTGACACACAAGTTGCTTGAGCTACTCTCTCTATTACAGAATGTAAGAGATAAAGAAGTTGTGCAATATCCCAAATATTTTTTTCGTTGTATAAATCAATCAGTTTTAAAGACAAATTGCCTTCCTTGGCTACGTACCACTTTTCTATTGTTACTTTTTTGTCAACCCACTTAATAATAGATAAGATATTGGTTATGTTAAGGAAAAAAAATTACACAAAATATTAGATTAATGAAATGAAAAGAAAAGTACGCTTAAGGTATAAGAAATATATGGTAAATATAATCCAGATTTCCCTAATGAGTGCATCAGGTCCACGAGATTGTGAACCCGGTCTAAGTACTGTTGTGTTGTCAACGATTATCTTTGTTATGGTGGTTTTTGAAGTTTATCGAATATCGCTGCAGTTGCCTAAGATGGAGAAGAGGAGCTTGTAACATTGATAAGACGACGTGCCAATTGGGCGTTAACCAGCGGTTCCTACGTAGAATTTTGTAGTTTTGATGAAAAATTTAAAGATGTTTCTTTACGGAGTACAGACAGTGCATAAGCTGTTAGCTGTTAGCGCTAAACGCGTCTAACATACACTAGAGCCATCCTGAATCTCAACGAAGAGGAGGACAATTGTTCATCGAAAATTATCATAAGCGATGAGGCTCATATCCATCTTAGTGATTAAGTAAATAAACAGAATTATCGTTTCTGGAGCACCAAAAATCAATGTATCACCCATGAAGAGTCATTATACCTACTCAAAGTTACTGCGTGGTGTGCTGTTTACGCTGGAGAAGTTATCGGGCCATTTTTCTTTAAGAACGCCGCAAGTAAAATTTCATTTTCTCGACTGATTGAGTAAATTATAATGGATTGACTAAGAAAATTTCACAAGCTGAACGAAAGCTTTTCATTAAAAAAAAAATTACACTCAAAAAACATTAGATGATTACTTTTGCTCCACCTTGTATATTTCTATGAAGTATCTGTCATTTTAGTAAAATAAAGAAGTCTAAAACAGTAAGTTTATTTCAGCTATTAACAAGGTGTGGTAGGATCTTTCTGTTGTATGTTTTCGACAATGACCCTTGCAAAATATTACCAAGCTGAATAAACTGACTATACTAGTATATTACCGAATACTTTAATAAATAAATTTATATATAGTACAATTATATCAATAATTAAAATACAAAAAATACAATTTTTTAATCTTTTCAAGTTTTAAGACAGTCTAAAAACGTTTGTTTGTTTATGTTTTTAGAAATCAAAATTCATCTAATTTTGTACGAATGTTAGACAAGGATAGTAGATGGGATATGCAAAATGGTTTGCCAACGTTGGTTACTACTTTGTTCCAGTTAAACTTAAATGGTTATCCAATGTAAGTATTAGGAAATTTGCGCAATTGGTTTATTTTCATTGAACAAATTGATTGGCATGCCTCTAGCAAGGTAATTCTAATCAGTTAATTTTATTGCGGTAGCTAGCAAAACGTTTCGAAAAATGAAATGATTCTTCTATAACTACAGCTTAATCCTAAAATTACGTCAAGTAATAATCAAATGTTATATTTAGTCAGTATTGTTAGATTGCACCGAGACATGGACTCTGAAAGCTGATAAGATCAATCGCCTAGAGACATTTGAGATGTGGTTGCATACAAGAATGGTCCGAATAACCTGAAGAGCGATACAGACCATTTCGGCTGTATTAAAAATAGATTGTGGCGTTCGTAATTTATTTAAAACTATAAACTATTAAGATAAGAATGCTTTCATACCTAGAGCATGTTCTTAGAGAATACCACTACAGAATCCTTCGGCTTACCATAAAAGGTAAAATCGAGTGCCACAGGGGAACTGGAAGTAGATGTCATGATGACTCAATAACGTTCGCAATTGGACAGGAATACGTCATGCCGAACAGCTATTTAGATTAGTCGATTCCCGTGAACAACTCGCCAAAGTAATCGCCAAAGTTAGGGACCCAATATGGCACCAGAATTCCAACAAATGCTGCAGGAAGCCAGAATTCATAAATACATTTACGGCAATTCAAGTTTGGAATGACTGCATCACAAAGCTAAGGCTACAACATGCTAAAGTAATGTTAAAAATACTACAGATCTTGAAGAAAACTCATTAAGAATAACTGCCCTTAGAGAACGAATTTATACCTCTAGATCAGTATTACATAAATTGTAGCTATAGGTCAATGATTCTCTCTACGATATTTATAGTGTATTTATCAGAATATCAGATTTTTGCAATTTTGCAAAGGCAAATATCGAGCACAGTTTAATTAGTTTAATCTTGCCCAAGTACTTTCTCATCTTCAGGGGCAGCTGAAATAAGCCAAGAAATGTTTTTTTTTTAAGAAGAAATTAATTAACTTCGATAAAAACTCGAAGTTGATGGTTGATAAAAGTTTTTATGTAATTAACGTTTTGGACTTACTTCGTCAATTGTGGCCTATCTGACAAGAATAAAACCTTATAAACATAAAATGGTACATTATACTACACTACACAAGGACAAACACATTAAAATTATTAAAAATAAGGGAATCTACATTGTGTACGGAAGCCGGAGACAGAATGGCTCTGGTCTAACGGAAATGTTGAGGTGACATTTGACATATGACAGCTTGGATGGGTAGTAACAATCATAGATATGTGATCTTCTTCTTCCTCTTCTGGTAGCACTACAACCCGGGGTGGGTCTTGGCTGACTGCACAACCTGCTTCCATCTCGAACGGTCGTCCATGATGTTTAAGTCAGCGGGTAGCCCCATTGTTCTCAAATCTGACCATATATTATCTCTCCATCGCATTCGTGGACGTCCTAAGGGCCTTCTCCCTGTCGGGACTTCTTCCCAGATTAACTTTGTAAGGCGGTTATTAGGGAGCCTATGAACATGGCCAGCCCATCTTAGACGTTTGGATTGAATCTCTTGGACTACGTCGCTAGCACTATACATTTGTTTGACCTCGGCATTTGTTCTCATTCGGTATTGGTTAGTATTCGGATCGTGATAGGGACCGAAGATCTTTCTGAGGATTTTTATCTCAAAGCATCTGAGTTTAGTTTTCATTGCTTTTGTCAGCGTCCACGTCTCACACCCATACATGAGCACCGGTCTAATTACTGTTTTATATATCCTGATTTTTTATGTTCGTGTTAGGCTCTTGGATTTAATAGTGTTGTGGAGGCTATACATACATCTGTTTGCTGCCTGAATTCTCCCTTTTATCTCTTCCGTGATATCGTTATCTGTGGTGATAGTCGCTTTAAGATATTTAAAACTTTCCACTCTTTCAAAGTTATAGGGGTCTATTGTTACATTTTGTCCTATTCTATCTCGTCTCTTTTGTCTATTAATGCACATATATTTGGTTTTCTCTTCATTGAACCTTAGACCGGTATTTTTTGCCTCTCTCTCTCTCTCTAATTTATTGAAGGTTTCTTTTACATTGGTGACGGTATTTCCTACAATGTCAATGTCATCCGCGTATGCTAGTAGTAATTTTGGTCCATTTACTGTCAGTAGTTCTGTTTTAATTTGTGCGGTTCTTACTACTTTTTCCAGGATTATATTAAAAAGAAGAGGTGACAGCTCGTCTCCTTGAGCTTGTTACCTATCCGCACTCTAGATCTACAGCCATTTACACAAACTTTAACGAGCTGGATAAGTTTTTTTGGAACTAGATATGTGATCTGCATATTTCAAAATTCTATGAAACTGAGCATTGACCAAAGGTCCAACTGACACTACTATAGGGAGTCAAATGATGAAATATAAATTTCGTATTCATAAATTTAAGTTAATTAATTTCTTCTTAAAAAAAAAACGTTTCTTATTTCAGATGCCCCTGAAGATGCTCTAATGAGCGAAAGTACTTGGGCAAGATTAAATTAATTAAACTGTGCTCGATATTTGCCTTTTCTTTGATCAAAGTTCATTTATTCGAGCATTCGACCTTATATCTATTTATAGGAGATCTTTAATATCGCAGTTTGGTAAGATAGATGGCGTCAATAGAGTTCTACATGTTGTCATGATCAGATATTTTGATTACTAAAATCTAAAACGTCTTGTGATTTAAACACGTTTAAAAATTTAATTGATTTAATTCTAATGAACATCCAGCATTAACAATTTTCAGTAAATTCTATGCATTCTAATTATGAGTTTGATAATAGATTGCTTATTTACTTATTTAAATCATAATAAATTATAGTTTAAGAAAAACCATTCAATAACAAAAGCCAAATACGTCGTATTACAGCTGGGCATTCACGTTTCGACTTGTGGTCCCACTTAGTAGGAATACTCGTTGGATATGCATCTCCACTCACTCTCCGACTTTCTATCCAACTATAAGCGGTCCAACTTCAGTTCTAGTTTGTTTTCACGACGGTGTATATCGCTTAACCAAAAAATGTGTCAAATAAACACTACGCAAAATATAATTAGGAGGAGGAAAATGGCAGCATTGTGCTTGTTATCCTTATCATTTGAAAAAAAGATGAACAATGTTGGATGAAGAAATTATTTGTTAATCGTGTGAACTATTGTGACACGAAATATTCGTGAATGTGTCAGTACTGAACACCGCTATGTAGCAACTTTACGCTTTGTGGCCACTGGAAGGTCATTTGAAGATCTAAAGTTTAGCTGTAAAATATCTCCACAACTATTGGAAAAGGTAATACCAGAAACTTGCAGGGCTACAATAATTTTTTGTGCAATTGAAAGTTATTTTCTGTTATTTGTTTGCGAACTAGGGATCTTTGCTCAGCGATGTGGAACAGACAGCATCAATTGAGATTTTGTTTAAAGCTGATGTTGTGAACAAATTGTATATAGGGAAGAAATATCATTTACAAACTCATCTTGTAGTAAATTTACCATTTTATTTGAGAATAAGCCACAATATGACTCAAAAATCGTTATCAAAAAACGGCTAAAAACCGACATGAAAAAAGAAAACAATTTCCCCAGAGCGGTAGAAAATATTACGCAATTCATATGGTCATCTATAGGTCGTAAGTTTTTGTATTGACAAAGACCAGTTGAAAAAGAAAATTATTTCTATAATTGAACTATATAAATAATTTAAATTTGAACGGGGAAGCTATACTGAGAAATAAATTTAGTCTTTAATTTTAAACTACTTACTGAGAACGTATTTTCGTGCATTCCTTTTACCATATTTAGTAATTATCTTTGTTTAGGGTACTACCTGATATGATAGGAGGCAATGGATACGGAAACCTACCAACTGCTGAATTAATTGTAAGATGGACTCAGGCAAATACGTTTATGCCAGCAATGCAGTTTAGTTATTTACCATGGGAGTTTAATTCAGATGAGGTAAGAATACTCACCATCATTTTTCATACTTTAGTTCTAAGCTATGCTCTCTTGTTTTTGACAGCAATTGTTTCCATAACCTGGACTTTCCCTAATAAATTAATTTCTAATTTTTTCTTTCTTATCACTCTATTTATTTATCTAGATCAGGGTTGTTCAGACTTGTAGTGTCTGCGACCTACCACAAAACATTTAGAAGACAAGCGATCTCTTACCAAATACTACAACTCGGCATTACCTAGATACTAAAATACGTAGATTTATGAAAATGCTTTTATTGTATATGCGCGTAAATACAAAATATAATTAAGGCATCTAATCAAGCATCTTATACTAATAGCTACAAACTAATAATTTTCTTTAAATCACTAATTTCCTTTTAATGTTGATATAATGTACAATTAGGGCATACATTTGTAATATATATATATATATATATATATATATATATATATATATATATATATATATAATACAAAATTATTAAAATAATTTTAAAGTTTTAAGACGGTATCATAGGTATGGTTCAAAATAATTAGGAGAGGTAATTAAATGTTGTACAGATAATAGTTGAATTAAGCTTATCAAACACTGACCAATATTACTGTTATACAGTGTGTAAAAGCCAAATGGAATAAATTCATTATTTAGGTTACTGTACATATTTATAAAAAATCCCGAAACAAGTCAAATTTAAATTATAACTTAACATTCTTTAACGTGAAAATGCAACCCCTACCTTCAACCCCCTTAGAATGACAGGTACAACCCCCCAATTTTTAAAATGGGAAGTATAGGCTTGTGATAGATCGTTTAAAAGGTCTTTTCATTCTCCATTCAAAAATGTTGTCACTTTTAAGTTTATTAAGATTAATTAAGATCAAATAAATTAAAATCGTGTGGTTACCGAAATTCGCTACTATACAATCAAAAACTAAAATGTAATGCAAAACGTAATAACATGTAGAACACGAAAAAGAACTATGAATGTTAATGAAGTAGATGTTCAAAATGTTCACCGCGAACGTCTTGGCAACATCCTAATCTCAAATAAAACTGTCTTCTAACATTATTTAACATAACAGGCGTGATCGACCTAATCGCAAGCGTTAATCGTTCTTTTAAGTCATTTAAATCAGAAGGTTTAGTTTTGTGCACATGGCTCTTCACATATCCCTATAAAAAGAAATCTAATAATGTAAGATCAGGTGATCGCGCTGGCCGTTCAATCGATCCTCGCCTTCCTATCCACCGATTGGGAAATATTGTATCGAGGTACTGCCGAACATTAAGTTGGTAATGTGGTGGTGCTCCATCCTGCTGAAACCCAATCGTATTCGCTGGAACTTGAGGGTTTCCGACATCAGGATATAAATTTGCCAACGTTGGAATGACATCATTTAGTAGTGAAGTAGTGCCAAATAATTGTTGTCATTCAAGTTGCCCTCAATGAAAAAGGAACCAATGATGTTGTTTCCTACAATCCCTGCCCAAACATAAACCTTTTGAGTGTATTGAGGTGTTCTTCTCTCATCCAGTGAGGATCTTTCGTGGCCCAGTAGCGGCAATTTTGCCGATTAGCATGACCGTTAAGTGAAAAAGTACACTCATCAGAAAACATAACGTTTTCTAATTGGATAATATTGTTATCCAACATGTCCATCATTTGCTCACAAAAAAAGTTCTCCTATCTAAATCGTCTTCCATGAGCTCCTGAGTAGGTATCATCTTATAGGTATGCAATTTATTTTCTTTTAATATGTTTACTATCGATGTATGGCTAGCATTGAATGTAGTGGATGTCTGTCTACTCGAGGTATGTGGATTTTCCTAAAACTCAAGCAACACATAAAATTTGAGTTCATCACTCAGTGCATTGGCAGCTGCTTTTTTTATCGGCCTTAAATGACCAAACTCGCGAAACTGCTTCTCTATTTTACTTATTGTTCCTTGGGATATAGGTGGTAAATTAGGAAATTTCTGATGAAATAGGCGAGTTACTTCCTGTTGTGTTCGGGTGTTATCTCCGTAACCAATCATTTGTAAAACTGTTATTTTATACATTTCCTTTAATCTAACCATTTTTCAGAATTGAATTGAACGAACTTTTTACTTAAACTAAAATACTGACAACTTAAATAAAACAATTTACTAATGCGTGTTAAAATAACGTTGCCACGGCAATTCTTACAAGTTTTTTTAATGATTACCATCTAAAAACCACATTGCTATGGTTTTTGTTCACTTTCTTATTATCAAGACCTAAACGGGAAATAAGTTTTGAGTATATTTTAGTAAATTTGGGTAACCACATGATTTTAATTTATTTTATCTTAATTAATCCTAATAAACTTGAAAGCGACAACATTTTTGAATGGAGAATGAAAAGGCCTTTCAAACGATATATCACAAGCCTATACTTTCTATTTTAAAAATTGGGGGTTGTACCTGTCATTCTAAGGGGGTTGAAGGTAGGAGTTGCATTTTCACGTTAAAGAATGTCAAGGTATAATTTAAATTTGACGTATTTCGGGATTTTTTATAAATATGTACAGTAACCTAAATAATGAATTTATTCCATTTGGCTTTTACACACTGTATACACTCGCGGTATTGATATAAGTAGGTTTCCGTTACCATACAGAAGGTTTTCATTCGCAGTATTCAAACGCGGTTGTTTCTCATATGAGTTTTAATGCGGTATTTGCGGTATTGCGACATTTGCGGTATTTTTTCACTGTATAGACGGTGCTATTTTTTTGTGAGTATTTGTTCACTAAGAGAGGCAAAAAAGCGTCATGACAAGGAGAAGAGTGCAAATGATCCGTGGGCTAAACACCTCAGCTGTTTAACGAACGTGGTCTCACAGTCGACATACACAACATTTTTACAATAGGCGGCGGCAGGTACTTTCACCTCAGCATATCAAAGCGTCAAAATGGACAATGTAAGTGTTTTTACCTCCGCTTCTACCATATCATGAACATCACATCACAAACACAACACTTAGAAAGGCTTATCCCTTCTATTTGGTGTAATAAACTTTATTAGACGACCACAACAATGCCAACTCACAATAAGGAAAGCTGCTACGTAGTCTTACTTCAACAGAAATATCCAAGGATAAAAAATGGAGGTCACGTGCCTGTATGTCCTACATATTAAAAAAAATAATCTAATAACAGACAGAAGAAACATAACAATATTTTAGCTCTATGTCACAAACAAATCGGCCTTAGCCATGGACAAACGAAGTCCTATCATTATTTCCTCCTACCTATACAACAACAGAAAACAACAACGGACAAACAGAAAACATTTTCTTTTTGGGGAATTAAAATGTTATTCCACATTTCCTGGACTATTGTGAAAATAACTTTTTACAAATCTCCTATATTTGTCTGACGAATTACATCTACAATTGCTTACTTGACACAAAACATCAGTCCATCGATTTCAGAACGATACAAGACATAACAATCCATTTAAAACATTCAAAATTAAAGATATAAAATCTTCATATCTCTCACGAAAAGATTTGACCTAAATGTTCGTACGGATTTTGGTCATAAAAATTTCTCAGCTGAACTTATATAAATAAAAAAAAGACGGTCAACGTTTGCATACGAAATAAATGATTTATAAACATAAACAATATTCATTTCTCATATCTTCTTCTTAGAGTGCCGTCTCCCTACGGAGGTTGGCAATAATAATGGCTATTTTTATTTTAGAACTTGCTGCTCTAAACAAATCAATCGATCTGCATTGGTACCAATCACGTAGATTCTTTAACCACGAGTTCTGCCTTCGGCCAACAGATCTTCTTCCTTGAATCTTTCCCTGTATTATCAGTCTCAAAATTTCATATTTTGGTCCCTTCATCACGTGGCCTAGGTATTCCAGTTTTCTGGTTTGTATAGTGGTGATTAGTTCTGTTTCTTTACCAACCCTCTCCAGTACTTCTTTATTTGTAATTCTATCAGTCCATGATATTTTCAATACTCTGCGGTATAACCAGAGTTCGAAGGCCTCGATTCTTTTTAAATTACATTTTTTTTAATGTCCAAGTCTCAGCTCCCTATAATAATATTGAAAATATATAACAGCGAATGGTACGTGGTCTGATCTCCAAATTTAGATTTTTGCACGTTAGGAGTGGCTTCATTCGTATAAATGCTGATCTGGCAATCTCTATTCGTCTGTTTATTTCTACAGTATGATCATTGGTTTCATTGATCAAAGTTCCCAAATACTGATATTTTTCTACTTGTTCTATCACGTTACCATTTATTGTCAATTTTCAAATTCATTCGACAAATTGTCAATGTCATTTCTCATATATGGGATCTTTATTTAACAACAAATTGTAAATAAACAAAGACTAATATCCTCCACATTCAAAATACCGACCATAAAAAAATCGCATTATCTGGTTTAAAAGATGAGTTGACTAATATTGGTTTTAAGGACATATAGATATGAAGCGAAATCAGAGGGAATATTATTTAACATTCTAAAAATTATATTTTAATAGATTAATTGGTACTATCAGAATTTTTCTCATTGCAAATCCTGCATCATTACAGATTTTTCTAGCTGAATCCTTGTTGTACAATTTTCGAGCATTCTTTTCTCAATCTTTTTAAGAATTTTAGTATCAAGGTACTAGTAGATCAATTCTTAGGTATGGTGTGGCATATAACAATTTTTAAAGTAATCTTGTTTTCTAAGTATATTTCTATCATATTTTATCAGTTCATTTGGAGTTTTTCCGGACTTGGAAATTATCTTTAATGATTCGTTATTCATCCTTTTATCCATACTTAGCTTCTAGTGATTACCACGTTTCCAACACTGAAATTTTTTTTTGATAGCAGATTTTCGCCTGCTTACTAGATAACCGTTGTGTAAATTGAAATAAAAAAATATTTTTTATGCTTGGAAATCTCGACCAATAAAAAAGGCATTACTAATTTGGAAAACCATTGTAAACAGTATGTCGAGGTAGACGAACACTGCATTAAAACATTTTTTTTTGTGAGAAAAATGTTGCGTTCGCAGTACCTCGTATATTTTTCAAGATTTTTGCCCCTTTCCTTGTCTATTATATCTTCGTATTTATTGTGGGTAATAATTTTTTTGTTTATCACTAATATTATTCAGTTTTTAGTTTTAATAAAATCCCTAATTAAAAGAAATACTTTTTCAGTTCAACACGACACAAATCGTGCAAAAATATATAAGCATTCATGAACAATACTCCGATGTTATAATCAAAGCAATGGAAAAGAGCGTCAGCGACGGTAGTCCTGTAAATCCTCCAATATGGTGGATAGATCCAACTGATCCTACAGCTTTGGCATGTAATGATGGTAAGTGAAATACAATATTGTAATGTAACGTATAATCTCGATTCTAAACATAATACTCTTGTTGATACCTCAGTTTATATTTTTCGTAACATGTATGATCTTTTTATACGTTCTTGTCCTGTTAGCGTTAAAAACTTGAAGATTAAAAACATGTATACTTTTCGTGTTTTCCGCATATTAATTTAATCAATATAATATATCGTATTATACCGAATATTTGCTATATTTATACTCAATTAGATAAATTTTCTAAACTATAACGTTAAAAACTTTCTTTTAGAATACTTGGTAGGAGAAGATATATTGGTGGCTCCAGTTTTGGAGGAGAAGAGTAGATCTAGAAACGTTTACCTGCCACGTGGCAGATGGCGTGATGGTCAGAATGGAACGGTGTACGAAGGTCCTTTATCATTCTACTACCCAGCTGATATTGACATTTTACCTTATTTTATTAAAGAAGATTCTTAAATAGTAGTTATTTGAAATTGTTATATTTTTGTAAAAATAAAATATATGATATAAAATTGGTGTGTTAATTTAAATTTATTTAATTAAATTAGAATATTAAAAATAATTACTGAAAATTATAACATTGATCTTTACAATCATTAGAGTAGGGAATTTTACACGTCAAAGGAAGGAGTGACCGCAACGATAACAAAAGTAAAGCCGAGTGAGCACCAAACGCGTGTGCCAGTGGCGTAACACCCAAGCCAATAACATAAATATACATAATTAAATTCCAAATAATAGTAATTATTTTAGTTTAATTTTCTATTTTTATTAATTTTACATAACATGATGCACACAGAAGATTTAAACCATGGACGTATAAACACAGATGGACTCAGTTATTTACATAAAATTGTGAAGTCAAAGTTATTTGAATAGGTCACATTCTCAGCACCTTCAACTGTTGTCACGTTTTGTTTTAAAATTTATTATTCGCGAGTCGCAGAAAATATTACTCCGTATTTTATACTATACAGGTGCTATCAAACCAAAATAATAATTTATTGGTTAGATTAATATATTTAATTGTAATCAAAATATAAAGTGTGCACATAGTGTGTATTATCATTTAATAATAGCGTATAATAAATATCAATCAAATATTTTATAAGTAGAAGCACTGAAAACTATTTATAAATGGTAACGGTTGTGTACATTTCTCTGTCTTATGGATCTACCTCAAACTTCAAATGCTGTTCCATGTTTATTTATTTTTTAGTAAAAGTTGTTTTTCGATATTTTGGCTGTATTTTGGGTGATATTTGTAAAAAGTGAAATAAAATAAACGAAATATTTACATCCCGATCTCTCATTTCATTTGTAAGTACATACAATTTACATTATTTAAGATGAGGAAATGAGGAAGCGTGTTTGTTTACATTTTAATTTACATTGGGTTTATTCATGTTCATTATTGTATTGAATAAGATATAAGTTCATGAAATTAGTAGACATTTTTAAATTGTAAGTAGACATCATCTGATTAAAAAAGATCTCTTTAGTACCTTTTTAATTCATTATTTCTCATGGATGCAAATAAATTAGTGAAATGAATAAAACTCATTTATTTTTCTATGTAGGTTTTCAAATAATATTGACGATCGAACTATTTTGATAGCAAATTTAGGAGAAAACATAAAGATTTTTTATTGTAGCACTATTTTGATACCTATTAAAAATTAACTTGAATTCAACTATATTTTATTGTATTAATTTTAAAGCAAATAAAATTGTATTTTAATTTATCTATAAAGACGTGATTTGTTAATAGTTAAACTCTCGTTTTTTAAAATTCTTTGAACGTGTTTTTATACATTATTACTACTTCCAATTTTTAAAATCTGAGTAATTACCCGCGAGTAAAAATTCAAGCACGCTTATGCTCATTGCGGAAGCATCACATTCTACGGAAGCTTCAAAACATTGTGTGTTAAAGGTATCTTATTGCTGTGTCCATCTGTGTTTATACGTCCATGATTTAAACAATTCTTTTAATTTTTTGAACTTTTATACTTACTCGAAATAATCCAGGATTAGAAATTAGGGGATGTGATAGAAGCAAACAACTTTTTGACTTATTGATTTATTGTCCACTAAACAGTATTAATTTGTTATATTTATTTCGAATGACATTATCAAATTCATTTTGTTTTTTGTTATAAATTGCAATTTTATGTTTAAACATTTATCCACTATTGCTTCAATTAAATATCTATTAGCACACCCTACAATATGTTCTTGCATTTTTCAAAAATATTGTTCAAATTGAACGCAGTTGAACATGATTTTATTTTTTAGAATAGAGATAAATTTGGGTTTACTCAAATTTTGCTCGTTTATTTTTAAAAAATGTTCCGATGTTTGGCAAATTATAATCCACATCTTTGGACGGATATGTTAATCCTCCTTCAATTTTTTTTGTAATTAGTGAGTTTAAATAATTTGATTTGTTTCCAGACAATGCATCTACAAAATCTACACATTGTATTGTGCTTTGCAATTTTCGAGCTACAAAACCTGCTATATAAGTAATTGTTTGAATATTAATTACAGTCGAATTCATTATTTAGTCATGTTCACTCCAACTAAGTGCTTGATGTAACAATTTCACTTTCCCTGTCGTAGTTCCATAAAATAAATTATTTTCAAAATGTTTCGAGCTGATGACTATAATTTTTGGTGGGTATAAAGTTTTTAATTTTTATATTTTCAATACAAATACTTCTTTTTGGTTCGTCTGTTGGAAACCTATATAAAAAGAAAATGTTATTAATTTCATTTTCGTAGTTGCCATATATTATATATTATAAATCCCATTATAAATTAAATTCATCATACACCACTGTTAAAATGGTGCTCTTTTATGTTGCTTTTAAGTTTTCATGTGAAATTTTTGAAGTTTATAACTAAAACATGTGATTTTAGTTATGTAATTAGGTACATTAAAGTGTTGTTTTTTAAATAAAGAACAGCTTAAAAGGCAGTATCTAAGAATAAAGGAGTATTTAGTGTATTTTCATCTACGCACTCATAACAAAAATATTTATTTATCTGTGAAATGTAACTCCCACTTCATTCTTTCTCTTGTTGCTTTTACAACCGTAAACCGAATACATCACCATTTTAAAGAGTTAAAAAAATTGCTACTATTCACTCAGAAATCGCACAAAAATAATTAACAAAACGAGTGGTGTCAATCCGACAATGAGCACCAAACGCGGCTTCACTTTCGCTTGAAGGCTAGATGGCGCGTTACCACTCATTCGACGTGTAAAATTCCCTACTCTAAGTTACAATCTGACACTCAATAAGTTTGCTGTTCAAAAACAATTAAGAAAAGGTTACCCATCCTTCATCCTAGCTCATCTTTCTATTCTACATCCGCAAGAGACAACCAGCACTTATCTAAAAACTGATGGAGAAATCCAGCGGAATATATCCGTAATTCAAAATGTGAAAAACTATGATGAAGGATGCAGGATCATACGACACAGGCCTTAAACGGTTCCCTTCGAATAGCAGGGGACCTCCGGTTGTAAATAGCCTTGCTCAATCGGAGGTCTGAGCTAGGCACTTGAAGACGGGCCAGACGTTAAATTCTACGGCTGCTCACATCGTCCGGGATGGCTTCAGATGTCGACAATACAAGATCCAAATAGCTAATTAATGCGATTAAAAGACTAAACCCATGAGAAGGAATAAAACTTAAGGAGATCGAAGAAACTGATCTGACAATAATGTATTGCATACATACCTAATGAAGAAAAATTTACCTTGATATCTGCTGGAAATTTTTTTAAATAAATAAATAAATAGTTTATTTACGGTTATACCAATTATAATAATTACAATCATCAAATAATTCATATCATATCAACAGTTTTAGAACTCAATAATAATTACATACAGTTTACACAAGACAAATAAATAGAATAAATACCTAAATGCCAGTTTACAGTGACAGCCTACATTGTATTTTAAAAAGATTTTTTCAGCTTTTTTCGAAAACTATTCAGAGCTAGAAAAAAGTCTACATCTAAGCCATTTCCAGATTGACACATTCGTCTTATAGGTCTAATAAGACAATAGTTTGTTTGTTGGAATTATAAGTGAAAACCGTCCATATATCTTGTGCACGTTTGAGGAACCCAAAGACCTATTCTCTGCAAAATTTGAGGCGAATCTATAATTCTGTTTACAATCTTAAAAAGAAAAACCAAATCTAGCATTAAACGACGATTTTCTAATGTTGGTATATTAAGTTATTTTAAAATGTCACAATAAACTATATCTTCTGAAGAAATCCCTAATTTATAGCCTACAAAGCGCAGAAATTTTTTCTGAACTTTCTCAATGCTTTCAATATGATATTTATAAAAAGGAGACCAAATAGTGCTGGAATATTCCAGAACTGGTCTAACCATAGAACAGAACACACATTTAAAATAAGCTAAGGACTAAGAATACTGTAGTCTGAGAAATATGATCCAGGACATACCAACAGGTCCTCGAAGACACTTCGTCTCAGGACCATTTTTGCTATGCAGGGTCATGCGTCGCCATGTTACCAATTCCAACGGTAACTATTAATAATATTTAATAACATCATAATTTGTAACCATATATAATGTAAAACAACTGTAAATTATATCATTTAAAGGGTTTTAACCCATATATTTTGGTGGCTCATAGCATGTATACCTCGTAAGTATTAACCACAATTTTCTTTAACCTTAGTGAACATTTTAAATTCAACGTTCTTTTTAATTAAAGTGGTTATTTACTTTCAGGTTTACACTGATGATGGATTTAACAATCCGAAAACGTTTTGTAATATGATTGTGATAGCCCGTTTGGGCATTTTATTATATACCTTTTATAAAGGATTTGAAATAAATTTTTTTGTCTAACTACTTTTTTTAGTTAGAGACTAAAAAAGTTAGAGAGTAAAAGACTCTTGATATGACAACAAGAAGAGTACAGTTAATAGGAGAAAAAATTCTCAATGGTGACATGACAGCCTCAGATAAGAGAGGAGATTCAAGACAACAAGACCTGAATGTTCAATGGAATAGCAAAATAATAGAGCACATAAAAATCTTTTCGACGCATGAGAGCCATTATTGTAGGAAAAAACTCCTAACAAACTGTTTCTATTTCCAGACGTTAATGTCAGTAGAATGTACAAATCATTTTTGTATGCCCCCAACCAGGTAGGAAAGCCCCCTGTTTCTAGACAGTGGTATAACGAATTTTTTTTATCCAAGTTTAACCTGAGCTTTCAGGCTCCCAAAGTTGACACTTGCTCAACTTGTTACTCCCTTTTGGTTCAAATTAAATCTGGAGATATTTTAGCAAAAGTTTAAAGATAACTACATCATCGGAAAGCGGAAACCGCTTTCACTTTAATAAGTAGCGATGAAAATAATGCTAAACATTCAGATGCTTATGTTGTAACGTTTGACCTACAGCAACAGATGGGGTTGGT